ATGGGTGGGCCAGTGGTTGGTTTCATGGAGGACGGTGGATGAATAGGCCAGCAGGGGAAGGGGATACTCATGGAGAAGAGAAATGATTTGACTAAAATGGTGTCTGTTAAGAATGTCTGAGTGCATTCATGTGTTGGCTTGTAATAGTCTTGTTGTTTGTGGCTTTTTGTTGAATGTAGGGGTCAGTCTAGAATGTTGAACTTATAGTCATGCTTATATGCTAGGGGAATAAACCCATGACCCCCTGATTCTAGGGGTGCGTGTAAGAGAAGCTCTGACTTAAGCCGACATTGATCTCTCTTCCAGAAGCGGCAGTTAATGAGACCGGTAGGTCCCCTGTTGGCTCTGTGGGATGTAGGTATTTTTAGCTTAGTTCATAGTTAAGAGCGACACATTTTCTGCCTCATAAACAGTTTCTAAGCCGTAAGTGTAGAAAATAAAGAGATATTGGCCATGTTTTAGGTGCATATATGAAAAACACTGTTAAACCTTGATTAAAGCTGGGCTCTTGAGCCAGCAAGATGGAAAGATGCTTGGTACCAGCCTGACAACCCGGGTGCCATCCTCAAGAACCACCTGGTGGGCGAGAATTCGCTCCTACAACTTGTTCTCTGATGTCCACATGCATGTGTCATGACATGCATATTTCTTCATGTGTGCACACATGCAAATAGGTGTAAAGAGAGAGAGAGAGAGAGAGAGAGAGAGAGAGAGAGAGAGAGAGAGAAGGAGAGAGAGAGAGAGACTGGGCTGTTGAGCAGGAAACAAGGCCTAGCTCTGCTGCCTTCTCACAGACTGGCTCGTGGTTCTCTTGTCTGTAAAGCAGGGGCAGCCATGCCTTCTTGTTGGGTTTAGAGGAGACAGTGTTCACTAGCAGTAGGTCAGATGTTAGGAATGCTGTGTATTATCAATATTTTCAAAGGGAATACAGAAAGCCCTGAATACATAGGATGACCACTGCTGTTGGGAGCTGACTCTTAGCCGAAAGCGGCTATCATCTTTGCAGCCATCTCAGGCCATATACCCTGACAAGAGACTTGTTTTCAACAGCCTACAACAGCTGAGCACACTCTGGTAAACATCATGTTTTTCTCCCATATCTTGTTTTGTTGTTTACTGCCCCCAGCTGCAAGGCGCACGTGGTAAAGTGTCTTCAGCTGCGTTCCCCTGCTTGTGCTTATATATACACCCATGATTTCCTTTCAATAAACGGGACTTGAACAGACTCTCTGTCTTGTCTCCATTCTTTGAATCTCTTGCCCTTGCATCCCCATTCTCTCTCTTGCTAGACCCTGACCCACAGATCGGAGCAGCAGCTCAGGTCGGGACAAAGTGGCCCCCAAACGTGGGGCAGAACGGGCTGGTGCACACTGCCACCATTCATAAAGGCTCATTAGAACCATTACAAAGTCAGCATGGCGCCTGTCCAGTTCCTCTGAGATGAGGTCTGGGTCAGTCCTGGCTGAGAGGGATTTCCAAATGACTCCTGGTTACTTACCAGGCCCAGTGTTCTCACCAAGCAGCTTTGTAATTTAACAGATAAGGAAAATAACCCTACTCAACAGCCACCACTGGGACTGTGCATTCTGTCCAGGCAAGTAAATTTTGGTTTAGTTTAGTTTTTATTAAAACTTGAAAAACGTAGGGTTTTCTCAAGTATGTTGGGATACAAGAGCTAGAAAGATGTTTGCAATCTGAATTTTAATCTTTTCCTGTTATCAGTGAGAAATCCTAGGGCCTATGAGGTTAAGTGAATAATTTGCTGTATCAACCACAGATGTAATTTCTGCTGGACTTGCTGTCCAATGCCCTCTAAAAGAATGGATTATGACAAACTGTTCTAAACTCACGATCATTCATTTTAGTCTCCTGCATGTAACTGGTTTACATCCAAACGCCTTCTGGTGAAGGTAAATTTATTTACTTTTCCAGGGTTACATTATGAAATGAATTTGTCAGGAAGGTTCATGGGATACAGCTAGTCCTGTTACGCACATATAATGAGATTTCTTTAGAACATACCATGCAATTATGTGTGCTTCCAGCAATTCCAAGCTAATGTGATCATGTTTCCGAGCCATGATTTAGCATGTTGAAGCTCAGACTCTCCCGTTCTCTTTCCCCCGTGTAGAAGCAAATTCTGGACGGTTTTCTGAGCAAAGTCTCAACTCTCTTCTAATATTTCTCTTTTAAGGAGGTAAGATGATTTTATATATATAGATCTCTGTGGTGTTTTGAATAGGACTGGCCCTCGCAGGCTCATATATTTGAATACTTGGTGAGGGAGTGGTACTACTCAACAGAGATTAGGAGGTGTGGCCTCGTTGCAGTAGGTGTGGCCTCGTTGCAGTAGGTGTGGCCTTGTTGGAGGAAGTGTGTTATTGGGGGTGGGCTTTGAGGTTTCAAATGCTCAAGCCAGGCCCAGTGTTCTCTTCCTGCTGCCTGCCAATCAAGATGTAGAATTCTCAGCTACCTCTCCAGCACTGTGTCTGCCTGTGTGCTGCCATGCTTAACCGGGACAAGAGTGGACTAAACTTTTGAATGTAAACCAGCCCCAACTAAATGTTTTCCTTCCTAAGAGTTACCATGGGCATGGTGTTTCATCACAGCAATAGAACACTAAGACCATCTCAACTATTTACTTTTTTTTCTTTAAGAATTGCCATTATGTCTACGGTGAAAGTATAGGGCTGTGTATTTCATATGCTCATCAGAAATCTTAAACTGGAACTTTTGGCTGTCAAATTGACAGTTACGAAAGGGACATAAAGAATTTTCCTTGTGAACGGTCCATTTCATTACTTTGGGAATTCTAATAGTGTTATTTAGAAATTATTAACTATCTATGATGTGCAAGTTGCATGAATTCTTTTAATTTGCACAACTGTGGTTCACCAGGTTCTACATGCATCGCGTTCCCTAAGGGTTTGTTAAAACACACGCTGCTGTACTCCATTCCTGGAGTTTCTGATTCAGCAGGGATCAGAGACTTTGCATTTCTAATAAATTCTCAAATGGTGCACTGCTGGCCAGGGGGTTGTTTCAGAACTACTGCATGCTTCACACCAGAGAGGGAGGACATGTAAATCTGTTATTACTTGTGAAACAAACAAGCAAAGAGGAACTGGGCTCATATAATTCACCTAAGACATAGGTGGTTGTGTTCAAACCCAACTATTGTGTTGGGTTTGAAAAACTGCTTAATTCTATAGTCTACATTGTATTCCAATGTTTATAGTCTTAATTTCTGGGCTGAGTGGTTTCAGCACCAACCTATGCTGTCCGACAGAATAGCAGTAGTGCTGTGCTGTAGCAGTAGCAGTTGGGGTGGATCCTGGTACTAAGGCAGTACTCTATGACTCCCAGTGTTACGATCCAAATATGTTAAAACGTGGATCTTGTGATATGGTCCTTATCAAAGCCAAAGTGTAGGGGAGAATAATATACTCCCGAGAGAAACTTCCTTATGCAGATAGAAATGGACAAGGGCAGTGTCGTTCCAAAGGATGTGGGACAAAGGGAACCACCATGACATGCCTGCATGTCCACTTTTGACATTTACTTTTTTCGTTGCTGTTTACTTTTGTAATTATTTTAATTACATTTCTCTTCTCCCTTTCCTTCCTCCAAACCTCCCATAAACCCTTCCCCACTCTTCATTTGTATTCTCTTTTTTAAATTGTTATTGATGCAGTGTATATAGCATTGGTACGCATGCACACACACACACACACACACACACACACACACACACACACACACGCATCTATACATACTCCTAAGTATAACATGTTGACTCCATAGAACATTACTTGTATGTTTTCAGGGTTGACCATTTGGCACAGAACCACCCATTAACGTGCTCCCTTCCGAGGACCATCTCTCCCTCTGCCAGCTTTATCTAGTTGCTTTTACAGGGTTGAGGTCTCGTGGGCTTTCCCGTCTGGCAGGTCTGATGGTGTCCTCTGCTCATGTTTGGGCAGTCATGTTAGTGAGCCTTTACGATACAGCGTCTGATGTTACCAGGAGACACAGTCTCACTGCAATCTCCCCGCCCCTCTGGCTCTTATAATCTTCCTGCCCCTCCTTCTGCAATGCCCCCCGAGCCTCTGGGGTGGAAGTGTTCTGTAGATGTGTGGTTAGTTTTCTTTACTAGCCATGCTGGTGAAGGCACCCTCCTTGGAGGATTCAGTTTGTATGTGTAAACTTTAAGAGCTCCTGTACTCAGGGCTTGTGAGAGAGCACTTGGTACTCTGCCCTCCACCGGTCTTAGGCAGTAGTGAACAGGCACTGGGGTGGTGGTGGCATGCAGATAGTGAAGGGATGGCTTAGAGCTCAGCAGTGTACAGGGGAGGGCTCTGTCACTTTGAGATTGCTAAGACAGGCGACACTGATTAGTGTGTGTTCTTGTATGGGAGAAAGTATGAAAGAGGTGTGTCACAATGACTGTGTGGAGCTCAGAGGACCTTACATTTTCTTCTTGGCTGCTGCATATGGCAGGTTAACGGGCACATGAGTTTTGGGGAATCTTCTGTCTCCACCTTCCACGTCTCTGTGAAGGCACTGGGACTCCGGATGATTGCTACCATGTCTGGCTCTGAGTGACGATGGGGACTCAAACTCAGGTCCTTAGGCTTGCACAGACATTTCACCAACCCCTCCATTACTCTTTCATCAGCTAGAGAAAATGCTACTAGGTAACTGAGGAAAGATCTGAGTGTTGACAAGCAACTTGATTTCCACCAACAACATTCACTGCAATCACCTTTCATACCCACTTCTGTAAAAGGCCAGCAGAGCTGAGTGTTACCAACCTCCAGTCCACTCCTCAGCTGCACTGCAGTGGCCACAGGGAAATCTGAGGTCATCAGGGAAGGACTGAGACGGATAGAGCAACGTGCCCACCAGCAGGTAGAGGGAGGACTCATCTGTGGTCCCCAGCACATATACGGCACATAGCACTTAAGGAGAGTCAGGAACACAAAGAGCTAGCAGCACAGTGTTCTTCAAAGCAGTTTATTAGTGAAAAACTGGAAACCTAAAAATTCAACAGTAGTTTAACAAAATGTGGCACATATGAAGAAATATCATGCATCCATTAAAAAAGATGTAGAAATACATATGACACAGCAAGATAGGCATGGTACTGTTGAGTGAAAAAGTTACAAAACAGCATGTACAATTTGATCCCGTTAAAAAAACCTCTGTAAGTGTGCAGAGAACCTGGAGGCCACACGCCTCAGTCGCAGCTCTTTGCAGACGATGGAACTGTCCACAATCTTTCCTTTTGTCAGCATATTGTGACTTGTATTAATAAAAAAGCATGAACAATTCTTAAAAAGTCTACTCTGTCATAGGAGTAAGAGTACAGCTTAGGGACTGAGGTACAGAGGTGTGCATACATTAGTCTAACACTGCTTCACTGGTTTCTCAGGGTGTTCTGAGGCTAAACCCCAGTTCAAAGGCACTGTATGGAAGGGTGGTGGTTAGATCTCATCTTTCTTTAGAGCCGTGGTCCTCTAATACAGTTCTTCATGTGGTGGTGACCCCAACCATAACATTACTTTCATTGCTACTTCATAACTGTAATTTCGCTGTTATGAATTGTAATGTAAATACATGTGTCTTCTGATGGTCTTAGTTGAGCCCTGTGAAAGGGTCATGCAACACATGTGGAAGTCATCCACAGGTGAGAACCACTGCTTTAGACAACGGGTCCACATTCCCAGAAACCTGTGTCACCCAGGTCCTGCCATTCTAAGCAATACTTTCCTTACTGACATTACCTTTGTACCCACTTCTTAGACTGGTCTGAAAGGTCTCGGCCAGTGAGAGAAGCAGTGAGGCTGACAGAGGCAAGGGGAAATGTTCAAGTGTAGTCAAATCGTAGGCGCTGAGGGTGAATGGCCAGCCCTGTCAGCTCTGCAGTGCTTCTCACAACTGACTACTGCAGGATCATGCAAATGGCTTACTGTACAACTGTGGGGCCCTGCTTCCAGAATTTGGCTCAGTAGGTTTTTCGGAGGAAGACACAGGTATTAGCATTTTTTCCCTTTTACCCAACAAGTATTTATTGAGCATATGTAAGAGCCAAGCTGTGTGCTAAGAGTAATTTATGATTAACAGAATTACAGTCTCTGTCTTAGAAAGTCTACATTCTAAGGTGACAGTTACATACTAAATAAATAAATTATAAAAATAACATAATTACAATTAATAGTTAGAACATAGTAAAGAAAGGTAAATTAAGTTTTTGTCTTAAAATCTTTAAAAAGCTGTCTCAGGGGAGATTAATACTACCAATCCACAGGCCCACGTAGACAAAAGTATAAATAAGGTAGAATATCTGAAACCAGCGATTAGCATTTCAACAGTTCCCAGCAGTGCTGGCGCTGCTGTTTAAGTCTTGTACTTTGCCAACATTTGAATTAGGACGAAGTGGGGAAGGCAGGTGTGCACTTTCCCTAACGTCATCGTTTTAGGATGAGACAGGGGCACAGGGAAGCAGAAGGCTTAGAGTGATTTGCCTGTCAGCCATGCTACCCCTGACAGCTCTCCACTCTTGCTTGTGCAGCTAGGCAGTTCACTGCAGTTTCAGGTGTAGGGACTGTGTGTAACAAAGCAAGGCCATCTGTGAGAGCTCTCTGCATAAACTAGTCCGTCCCATCCTCTCTCCTCCCTGCTACTTCACCTCAGAACCATCCTTCCTAACTAACAGCTTCCTTTTGCTCCTGCTATGAAGGTGCCTGACTGGGAGGATGGGCTGTAGCAACTGGGATGCTGGCCTTGAGATGCTGGCCTCAGGCTTACTTTCCTGTCCGTCAGAGTGAGGTACATTCTCATTTTAGGAACCTCAGCTCCTCCAACGTGAATTTTTTTTTTTTTTGATTAGCACCATGAAAAAATGTTTTAACTATAACTTTGTGGGTCAGATTACTTTAAGGTCAAAGGTGGCTAAAATCCCCTTTTTTTTCAGTCTGTGGAGGGCCTATAAATATCTCGTCTATTGTATTCATGACTGTATGCACCCTCCACTCATTCCTGTGCTATTGAATTATGCTCAGGGGTCACAGGTTTACTTAAATAACTGAATTGCACCATGAGTTAATGGACTTTCTAAGAGTTTTCTTCTATGCTTAACAATTTCCTTGGGCCTTTACCTGAGCAAAAACTAAATCCATAACTTTAAGTCAAAACCAAAATTAAACAAAACACCCAACCAAACAATAAAGCTCATTAAAACAAAATAATTAAACAATAGAACATGCCTAAAGATTATGCTGGATCTATGATAGACAAGGTACGAGGAGGCTCTGCTCCTATGAATCCTACGCATGGACCCTCTTGTATCTAAGTGCTGGAGGGCAGAAGGGCCTGCCACAGAGCTTACGCTGAGTAGGGTGAGCGAGCAGATCTGGTGGGGTTTAAGGCGGGGGAGGATGGACTTCAGCAGCAAGCACAGCACAGATGTGAGACAAGTCTCTCACAGTCATGCTGTGTGGTGTCAGGGACTGACAGGGGCTTCTGTGCTTACACAGTGTCTACTATGTGCCAGGTCTTTGCCAAAACACAAAACACAAAGTAACACTTGTGGAATAGTCTCCTGTTAGGTGACATACTTACTCCCATTTTACTGATAAAAAATGGCAGCTCTAAATCTGAGTTGAACCCCAAAGAGCCCAATATGTGATGATACAAACAGACAATTCAGTCCGTATTTATATTTTCTCCTGCACTGCTCTAATTCCCATAAACTTAATTTGCTGAACTAAAGCTGCTGTTTAAAGTCACCCAAATTTTTATAGTCCCTCAAAGCCTAAATTTGGATAAATATAACAGATGGCACTTTAGGCTGTAAAATTTCCTTTCTGAGGGGGGAAAAAACCCAACAACGGTTCATTCACTTGATTCTCTAGAACACTAGCATCTCAAGCTGTTTTTGGAGTTCCTTAAGTATGTAACTCAAGTGTGAGTCAGAGCCTTACTAGAAAACTGCAGAGGAGTTGATCTTACTGCAGAGAAAGGGGTTGTTAACTCTGGGACCAAGGAGTAACTTTTCCATGTTTACCAAGCTCTTAACACAAATGGATGTTTTAAAGTGCTATTTAAATAGTACTTCAGAGTTTACAATTCAAAAATTTCTGAGTAAACGAACTACACTTTTGTACTTCACTGTTAAGTTACTCTGAACACATTTATGCTCTCCTGGTTCTAGGCCTAACTCAACATTTTCCTTCTTCTTGGGTCAACTTCTGACTTCTCAGACCCAAGCTAGTAATTCCTAACACAATACTTCTATCTCTTTCATCACAGTATCAATCCTGTTAGAGGTTATTTTTTGTCTTCTTTAGGAGCATCTTGTTCACAGTAGTATACTCGGTTGATCAAGAAAGTTCCTAGTCCTCAATAAACGTCTTTTGAATGGATGGATGAATGACGGATGAATGAGACCTGAAGATCTAACCAAAGAATTCCTCAACTGGCAATGTGCAGCAACGTTTGCTGATGGATAGACAGTACGGTCCTCATAGCAATTCTCTAGTTCCAAATGTGTCATTAGTCATCTCCAGAGGGTGCACGGCATAGCCAAAGACACTGCTGAAGAGAGACTCTGTCCACTGCATGACTTCGCTTATCTACAAGGAATGCTGTTGCACTAGTCTGTATTTTACACACATTTGTCCTTCAACAACAAATATTTACTGTAGTGTAGTATGTTCTTAATGGAATTCTGATTATGCATCACATTTTGGCAACTGAATAATTTTAAGGTTATCTTAGTGAATGAATTTGTCCCCAGTGTTCTGCAACCTTAACAAAATTATGAAATAAGGTAATACTTTTCAAGACTCAGGTTTACAAGAAACTATCCAGTAGTGTATTAAACATAAACAAACAGAACCCAACCCCAAATAAGCAAAACTCCAAAGCCAAGAGACCCTACTGAAGCCTAGCATTTAAGTCATCTGATTCCTATTGGGCAGCAAGGTAAAAGGAGTTTTTACTTTATTCTTTGGCTATTGTACCTAATAAATGAGTCACTGGTATCATGCACAACAAATTTATTTTGCATAAAAGAAAAAGCTTGCCGTTAATGAAAAATTCAGTAGAAAAGAATCCTTTTGTTTTTAAGTCGGGGCTCAAAAGTAGAAGTTGCTTGTTAGTGAAACCTCAGTAGAAAGAGAATTAAGAAAACACTCTTGTCATGAAATCGCTAACATAGATTCTGCAATGAAGGATTAACCATGCAGTTTTATTGGCAGAATGGCCAGTTTCTGATGGCTTGTAATTTTTCTTTTTCAGTCTCTTATGACATTAACATTGAAAGACATTTAAACCTGCTTTAGAGTTATTATATAAATATGGTGTCTGATGGGTAACCTCTCATGGTCTTCCGATTTAATTGAGAAGTTCTAGGTAGGTGATTGGCACCTTGCCCTTCTGGTTTCCTCTCTCCCCCATTAGCCAGTCGGAGTCCATTCCAACGACACTGAACACAGTGATCACCTACAAAATATAGTATTTCCAGTTATTAACTATATTAAAAATAGGCATATAACAAATATTAGATTTGTATTAAATGTTTGAATTATTCACTATTTAAAGACTTAAAATATTTAATTTTGATATTTAATAAAAATATTTAATAAAAATATGTAATTTTTAGCTGAAAAATTACATTTAGATGAAAAATTATGGTTTTTATCAGAGGCAGTTCTATAAACAAAATGTGTAAACATTTAAAACATTATTTCTATTAATCTACTATATAAAATGAAAAATTTAAAGGGTCAATATTAACTGAAATTCATGAAACATTCATAATAAACTATTTCCAAGTTAGTAGTGAGAGATTTATATTTTGCTTTAATATGAGACTAGGTCTGTTTGTGATCTATTTTTTTCCTGGACAAATGTCACTCACCTCATCTGCCAGGAGTGACAGCTCAGTACTATTTGCAGCATCATAATCATAGAGGACCCTGGCCTTTCTGTTGCTGTTGGATTCTTTAAGGTCATTGAGGTTAGAAGGACAGGTGACTACCAGGCTACCCGCTGAAGCCAGAGCAGAAGGACCAATTGCATTTGACAGAGCATATGGCACAGGTGTCCCAGAATTCTGATTGTTGTTAGAAAGATAATTGGATGGAAAACTGTTGGGGAAAAGAAAAAAAAAAAAACAACTCACTTATCTATTTTCAAGTGATTAAGGTTCCTTCCTCATTATCACCACTTGGTGGCACTATTTACCAACTTCCCCATTGGAAAGTCGCAGTTCAGTGTGTGGTCGGTCTTTCTCTTCCCTCTTAGGCAGTACTCAAATATAGAATCCGTGAAGGTTTACTTCAAAGCTGTCTCTCTATAGACTTAAACTGAGAGAACATTATGGCTAACATTCCTCCTGGAGTGTACACGTGTGAATGTTTATTTGTAAGCGCTGCCAAGAATATAGATGCCATATATATTTTTGTAGATATACATGTGTATGTGTGTGTGTGTGTGTGTATATATGTTATATAAAGTAAGTAGTATTATAAAAGTGAAGTTTCCTTATTATTATTTTTTTTTTTTGGAAATATTTGGTTGCCCGAGCTTTGTCATAAAACCAATATATCTACATTTTCCTATTTGCCTGAGCTTTGTCATAAAACCAATATATCTACATTTTCCTATCAGCCAAGTTACAAGAATGCACTATCTTACACGCTCAGCACTGCTGTAAGAACCAATATCAGAACTACTTTATGGGACACACAGACTGAGAGAAAAAACATTAAATTTAATTTATTATGATTGATAATTATGATGAAATATAAAACTCAATAGGAGAATATAGCAAATTTTACAAGGAAAATTTTCTATTAATTTTGAAGGAAAAGTAAAAGTCCTACAAAAGTGGCAAAAGTGACCAAGTGTAGAGTTTCCAATGTGTTTAAAACTGCTGGTGTGGTGCCCTGCACACTGAGGCAGTGGCCTGTGCATGCTACGCAGATGCTCTTCTATGGAGTCCTGTATCCTGCCCTACACTTATGCTCTCATCAATCTAGCCATTAAAACACATGCGGCCTTTCGTTTGTGAAGCAGTATGAAATTCATGCCTCAGAAAAAAACATTGTCCTTAATTTTTTCTATTTATTTTAATTATGTGTCTGAATGTTTTACCTGTATATATGTATGTGTACTACACATTCCTGTTTCATCCCCTGGACCCAAGGTTACAGATGGTTGTGAGCTACCATATGGGTGCTGGGAATTGAATCCAGGTCTACTCAAGTGCAAGTTCTCTTAACCATTGAACCATCTCCATAGCCTGGTGGAATTCTCCTATGACCACTGTGCTGCCAGTCAGCCACCAGCAACATGCCCTGTAGTACTCACTCTTGTTTCTGTCCGAGCCTGCTTCTTCGTCTGACCACAGAGGCCAACAGTGCAGGGACCCTATCCTCCCATCCCACCCTTCCCTAAGCAGCTCTCCAGACTTTCACACTAGTCACCTATGTTTCATTGTTAAAACATAATTCCTGACTAAATGGAATGATACTATATATAATTCTTGGTGATTTTAATAGCCATACAGACAATGTTCCCAAACTTTAGCCCCTTATATCCATGGACTTCTGTGCTGATCTCTCACCAGATCTCAGCTGCTGTCCGTCTTCAGCTCCCTCCCTCCCATCGAGATCTTACTAATCTCAGTGAACCTAAGGTGAAGAAGTATGGCTTCCACTGTCTTCCTTATCACATTTCCCCTGATAATTCCACCTAAGCAGCCTGCCAGTACCACACTAGTCTTCCTTCGTGTGCACAGCTGTGTGCATGGTCAGTTACGGTGACCACTCTGTGTCTGTATACTCTTTTTTCACACACTACATTCACTTGGCAAAATGTCCCCAGCACACAGACTCAGTTCTAGTGTAGCGACTGTCGGAAGAAAAATAAAAGCTGTTGCTTTGTCTTACATTTGTGGGTAGAATCCCTTAAACTGGTCTACAGTGCTGCCTGGCATTGCACACTAGGTCTGGGAAAGTCACTTGTTTTCCAGTTGACCATTTTATAGCCTCTCATTTACCTTCAAAACGCCAGCCATTCTCCCCAAGGCCTTGCAACAGGCCGACAGGAGCCGACTCCTTTGTAATGAAGAGGACTAATAACAGCTAGAGAAGCGGTGCTCGGCCTCGTCTCCTACTGTTGACAGGCTGTCTGTATCCTGCGGCTGATCCTGTTCTAGGTACAGAACTGTGTCTTGAGGAAGATGACACTAGTAATCCCTCTGTCCAATACAATCACACGCTCTCAATCTAGTCTGTCTTTCTCCTCAACCTGGGAAGCCACTGTTAGCTCTGAATTTAAAGGAACAAACCTGCAGACGTTCTTCTCTTTGGCTGTGCTTTACAAAGAACTACCTGGAGGCTTTGCTCAGTCTGCTGTCACAATTCCTCTGCCAGCCTCTCACACAACAAACAACAATGCCACTGCCTAGCCAGCTGCTCTCATTGATTCAACTGTGTCTCATTGATTCAACTATCTGTGATATGATTATGACTCTACTATTCTCTCTAGCTTGCCCCCTCACCACAGAGCCCAGACTTATATATCTTTATTTTTTTAAAAAGTGTTGAAAGGTTAAGGCCTTTTAATTACCAAAAAAAAATTATTAATAATAATAAAAATCACTAACTTTGTGCCTGGTACTTGTTTCCTTATGTATAGCTTCCTATGAACCAACAGTGCCCATCCTGTGGTGGTGAAGGTAGCAAAGTCTATGAAAAATGCCTATGAGGTGGCTGCAGAGTGGGCACAACTTAAGCCCTTATAGAAGTGACAGATGCTACTCAGTTGCTACTACCAACAAGGCTATCACAGCATGGCTCTTCTCTCTAGGAACAGCTTTGGGTTGGTTAGTGTGGTCTGGATGCTTTGTTACTTGTTAAGGTCTGCATATTAAAACCTAAAGTAAGTAAGTAAGTAAGTAAGTAAGTAAGTAAGTAAGTAAGTAACTAACTAACTAACTAACTAACTAAAGTGTTTCATTATGTCTCCAGGCTGGCATTCTGCCTGGGCCTGAGTACCAGGCTTGCAGCCATGTGCCCTTACATCTGCCCTTCTCTTGAAAAAGGATCTGGAATTAACTAGAAGGTTAACATTTCCTCTACTCCTGTCACAGTAATACAATCCTTTGAAGGTAGAGAGGTAAGGCAGACTTCTTCTCTCAGAGTACAGCGACGTGCCTGTGCTTCCACGGCTGAGAGCCCAGGACTGTGTAGCCTAAGTGTGAATGACTAACAAGTACAACCCATCTGCAACACTCAGCGTCTCAGGGCAAGTGGGAAGAAGTGTTCAGGTTTCTCAGACTTAAACTGTTCTGGCTTCAGACACGAATAGTATGACCAAAACACCAAGTATGTAGAAATGTAAACCAGGCAGATCTACCAGAAAACTAATAGGCCAGTTTATTTTGAAGATCTAAAATTAGCTCTGTGATGTTGCCTAACTTACGTGTGGGCTTAAATCTGAAGGGTGAATGTGCAGGATGAACACTGGAGTGACTCTTTTCAGACAGTATTTCTTGAGACAGTGCTCTGCTGTTTTTCCATCACGTCACTGTTCTCGCTCAATGGTTCTGTAAATACCTCACTCCTTCCTACAATTCGCTTTTACAGCCATTCATGCTGAAACTCTGTCCACACCTCTAGCCGCACCAACAACTCCTTATCCTCTAAAATCCTGCTCGCACTAGAATTAAAGTATTGTCAATTACCCAAACTTGCTGCTTCTCTCCTGTATCCTGGTCTGCCTGTAAGATCCATCCTTGCCTTGCTCTTCATCCAGATGACTCTCACTAAAATAACTCCATCTAGGAAACTCAGCCACAATCAGCTGGGCCATAATTAGATGTCCTCACCGCACCCCGCTCCTTCTACTGTTTTCTGGGGCTGGTCTATCTATGGCTCTTTGACTCCTAAACACACTGTTAAAATGTCACCTTACATCTGAGCTGCACCAAGGCAGATACCCTAGCTTGTTTGCTGCTGGAAGTCCAGAACATATGTGCGATCTAAGGCAGGGATTCTATCAATATTTGATAGTTAAATGACTAAGCTATGTGCTTTGTATACCATTTTGCTTTAAAGTATATTACCGTACTCAAAATAATTATGTAACGGGCTTGAGGTCTTCAGACTATTCTAAAACTAACAAATATGGATTAGCTTACTTTAAGAATAAAGTGTTAATGTAATCATATCTATCTTCTTCAACAAACAGCAAAAAGTGTTCAGCAGGAGTAGAGAAGTTAAGCCTCAATATCATTGTTTATACAGCACTAGAAAGCTATTCTCCTAATCATCTCGTCATCTCAGGTAACATCCTTTTGTGCTAGAAAAGCTAAAAATGTTATCTCAGAACTCTGAGAACAACAAAAAAGGCAACTGTATGCAAGCTAACAGAATCTGTAACTCTTCTAATTTTCATTCCTGCTGTTGGTTTATACATAAAAATATTAAATTTTTAAAATTTCATTTATTTTCTGTGGTGTGTATGTGTGTATGTGTGTGTGTGCACGAGCGTGCGCCATGGTGGGTGTGTGGAGGTCATGTGTACATCAGAGGATACCTTTCAGGAGTTCTCTCCTTTCACCATGTGGGTCCTGGGAATTGAACTCAGGTCATTAGGCTTGGCAGCAGGAGCCTTTACACACTGAGCCATGTCACCAGGCCCCACATATAAAAACGTCTCAACATCTTTCATCAGGACCTAAACAAATGATGTCTTGTTGTTGTTGTTAGTGTGCAGAGTAGAGCTTTAGCACAGCACGTGTCATGCTTTGTTTGTTTCACTGATTCCTCTTCCTGCCGCCCTCCCTCATGACCCTGCTGGCTGGCCTGGGAAGTAGATTCTCTTGCTTTGCCTCCTATCTGGCTGTTGCAGTGCTGGGGTAAGACCCATGCTGCTGTGTCTGATTCCCTCAGGTCGCCATGCTTGTGTGCCCAGTGCTTACCCACTGAGCCCAACCTCCCCTTTATCATGACTTTCCTATATAAAAGGGAGATGCTACCTTCCCAGTTGTTTTTGTAGGTCTAACATGTACTGGTAACACTGTGCATAGTAGGTCATCTGGGCTTCTACAAAGTCATTCAGACAGCGGAGATGATGGGCCTGCAATGGAAAAGTGACAGTCAGTTAGTTCTCAGATGTTCAAGGGGAACAGAGGCTAACACTGTCACGAGGGAGAATCGGCTGGAGTGACCTACGGTAAAGCTTACTAATGGGGATACTGTTATCAGGCTTACAGGACGCATTACTGGTGAGCAGTATGTTGACAAACTTTGCTTAGCCAGAAGGAACCACAGGAGGATTTATGAAGTGTACAGAATGCCTGGTAAGACTGAGAGAAAATGAACACGTTTCTTCAGATCTTCGTAAGCTATCTTCAGCTTTCCTTGAGAGATAACTAACCGCCACAGGAAGCTCTCCTTAAATGCAGTATCTCTTAAGTATCTCAGGGCGCCTTCAACTGCACAAACTCCTCCTTAGCTGGCTAAGTGCTGTCTCAGCGTCTTCTGTTGGAAATGACTTAACACTCACGTGTGTACTGCTGATTCCCTCTAGCAGAAGTCGGGTGATCTCTGCCTGACGATCAAATTCACTTTGAGTTATTCTTAATTCCTGTTCAGACTGAAATTAGAACATACTGTTAGGCTCTCAATAGAAGACTCAGTCCACTTTACATATACCAAAATGAAAAAAAGAAAGAAATTTCCGCAATATACTCCAAATTAGAATCTGATAATACCCTAACTCTTTGTGTGTGCCTTTTCTGGTTTTGAGTTTCTAGACCTACCTGTGTCACCAAACACAACTGACACAATTAATTCTTTACCAACAGCTGACTCATGCCAAAGCTTAAGTTGAAGACATTATGACTGTCAAGATATCTGTGTACCTTTTCTAGTATTTTGCTGGATTGAGTTAGTACTTTACAAAATCATAAGATTATAAGATATAGTTTTATAAGTATAATAAGCAGTATTACATTAAAAAATTCCAAATTATTACTGTGTATTTTTCTTTTGTACTTAACAACAGTCTTCAAGTCCAAATGGATTAAAGAGTAAACCCACAGGCTTCCTTCCCATCTCTGTGTTTAGTCACTCCACACTTGGTACTAGGACGGGCTCTTGGTTTCCTTCATGGCAGTCTTGGTCCTATACCCTAACTTTCTTTTACAATTTCTCCCTAAGTTATGCACAATAGGCTTTAGTCATTAGCATCATTAAGATTAAAGTTTTTCTACCAGTTATAGCTGTTCTTGAGTGCTGTGCTAGTACACCCATTTCAAAGGAAAAAGGAAGTGCTCTAACATCCTGATTTGCATGACATAAATACCCTCGCTGGGGCTTGTTTCAAGTTACCAAGATGAAGTCACTGACTTTGGAAATAAGAAGTAAGTAGCACTATTAACTTCTGTTTAGCACTAGGACAAAATAAATCATGGAAAAATCATCAAAATCTAAATATACTAAATATTGACATTAAAGATCTCCAAACTGGTTAGAAGTAGTTTGTAGGAAAGGAGGAAAACAAAACAAAACAAACTTCAGAACTTATTTGAAATGAGCTTAATCCCACAACTGAAAATGACCACAGGTGACAGAGTCTCTACTATAAATAATCAATCATACGTAGTCAATCAATATCATTCCCAAGATGTCAGAAAGCAAGGTCAAACAGTCTCCTTTACAGCCTTCTTTATCTCGGTGATCCTTGGTAACAGAAGTGTCTCCATGAACCAGTTAACAATGAGGTACAGGATTAGTGGCTCTAGAATCCTACCCTTCTGTTCTCTCTCGCTGCTTCCTATGACAGATGAAAATGTGACCAGCTGGCTTCCTGCTCCTGTCACCATGTCATGCCTTCCCTGCTAGGACAGACTCTCCCTCTAGAACCATAAGCCAAAGTTAACTTTCTACCTCCAGTTTCTCTTGGCCATGGTATTGTTCTCTCTCCACTGAGTTTATGGTTCAGCTTATATTCTCTCACTGTGTTCTGCCTTCTTCTCATGTTAGAGGTTCAAAAGCAACGAGAAGCCAGGGCGTGCCACAGTAAGTTAAGACCCCACAGAGGAGAATGAGACCTTAAGTCAAGTATTCCACACAATGTGCTGACAAACCACACAGTCAATAGTTCAAGAAACGATGCCTGAAACACACTGTAGAGTCAGCAGTTTTATACGTGATCAAAGTTAAGGCTTATAAAGCTATCTAAATATCTGAGGCCACAGTTCATACCTGTCCTCATTGCTGACACCCTCGTTTGGAATGCAGACTTTGGTAGACCTGAGAGTAAATGGGGAGTTCATGACAAATGTCTTAAGACCTCAAATAACATTTGGAATGGATCTACAGTCAAACTATAATTTTCTTCTTTAAATTATTGAGTTATAACTTGATTTCCTGGCCGAAAGAAAGTAAAAGACAGTAACGCAGGCAGAGGGACAGCTGACAGCAGGCAGAGGACACTTTTACAAGTAGCAGTATCACACTAAAGGGAAAGAGGAAAATCAAAAGATCCAACTGTCACATAGTATAATGATGGGTATCTGTAGTTACGATGTTAATTATAAATAAAATATTTGCTATGCTGTGTATTATACAGCTTTAAACTATACATTTTATGGCTATTCCTATTAAGATGACAGAAACATTCATTTTGGTGCTCAAGAGAACCACCTTTCGTTTCCTTAAACACAGTTCTCTGAAGACACGGGGTCACAATATTTAGTGTTCTTTACATTTAAAATATCATTGAAAAAATAACTGTTAATAAGTAAATCAAGTATTTCACCTGTCTTCTAGCAAGGCATTGTATGACAACCACTTGCTTAACTATTGTCTAGAATTCCTATGGTGTATACAGGATCTTTGGAGCATAATTCTAGTACTGTATGGAACTGCCATTAGTAAACAGACTTGATAATTTCCATAATTTTCAGATTCTTAAAAGATTTGTAATACAGGTCATACTTATGAATGGCTCCAGGCTGGTGCTCATCTAGTGTTTATTAAATGAATGACAATTACATTTTTGTTTCCTGATCCAGGAGTTTAAGGTTTTACTTACTTTTGTCACTTCCTCTGCCCAAATCTAGCCAGCATTAAAATTAGAGAGAAATATACAGCATGAAATAAAGTTGGAATTTAACATTTCCTATGACTTAGTATAGAAAAATGTGCTTTAATTTAAATGGCATATTCTCTCCCTTACAAACTTAACGTAGTAGTAATCTCAATCAGTATAGCTGAATATATTATGAGGTCTGCCATTTATATATATATATCAACACCACCAACCTAAAATCCTATAACTCTACAAATAAGAATAACAGCTTTCTCAAATGGAGAAATCTGACCTATCATAGAGAACCTACAGTCTCTCATATAAAATGAAAGGTCTGAACTATATGATTTCTAACTTCTCTTTGAGGTATAAATTCTAAAATTTTAGGAAATAAAAAATAAATCAAGGACACGGAATGCTACTCATACAACTATTTTTTGGGAGAAACAATCACTTTGAAATATAATACATCTAGGACTGCCAGTTAAATATCTTTATTATAGATAGATGATAAAAAGCTATAAAACAAATGCTTTTAATGAATCAAGCAAAGTCTTGCTAATTGTTTAGGATATTTTTTTACCATGGACAAAAGGAAACCTATGATTTACATAAAATTAAAAATGTCTGAAATAGTCTCACCCTTCTCAGTTACCTACAGATAAGACAATGGAAATAAATAAATGCATTCTCTTGCTATCTAAAGAAAGCTATAATTTTGCCAGGGCTTCAAAAATTAATAGGTAGAAACAATAGTTAATATCCAAACATCAAGTTGTTTTCCTGCTTTTAGCTCGATGCTAACAGAATAAAAGGAGTCAATCAATGACCCATTAATTATTAAGTACACTATTGATTTCTTGCCACGTTTAATGTAAGTAATTTATTTAGAATATAATTTCAAATTTTTGTGTGTGTATATAGTGTATGCACTCATTTGCACATGCATGTGTGCACGTGTGAGTATGTGTCTATGTGTGTTGTTGAAACATAGATGTAGAGGGCAGAGATTGACTCCACGTGACTTCCTCGACGCTCTTGGCCTTATTCTTTGGTTAGGTCTGTCACTGAAGCTGGAGCTTTAGCACCTGGCTCCAGGGATATTCCTATCTCTGCCTCTGCCTCCAGGGTCAGGGTTATTGATATGCACTGCAATGCCTGGCTTTTACCTGGGTGCTGGGAATTCAACTTCAGTTTCTCATGCTTACATGGCCAGCACTGTACTGACTGAGACATATATCCAGCCCCAAGGACTATCAATTGCTATAAGCTAACATGAATGAACTATGTCTATATTCACACAATTTTACTTCATTAAAGTAAATAAAACCCAGTATCTCAAAAATTTATTCAATTTGAGCTCAATTTGTATGAACATTAACTATTATAAAAAAATTCTCATTATCTTATTCCAGGCTATCGCCATTCTGAAATTTTAACTGAGTTCTTAGCATTGGATATGGAATAGGCCTGGCCACTGGGATTTGTGTCATCCAGGAATGGCAGCAACAATAATTCTGTGTTGAACTTCAATAGTAATACAGTAAGTAATGAAATTACTAAAGAAAACCAAAAAAACAAAAGACAAAAAAATCCCAGTCAACTTGTATACTTTCACATTTTTCCAAGTAAGGTAAATCGTGTTAATTTTCATCGATAAAAGTGACTATGAAATTTCAGCCTAAACTAACACTAAATGAACATCTTTTACTAGATGAAAAAGTGCATTATCCACGGTTTTAAAATCTGTGTTTGGCACGGCCAATAAATTTGGCTGTTATAATGTGCTAACTGTTCTTCCAACTGGCATTTTTTGCCTAGACTTAATCAATGTGCAGCTAATAGCAAGAGAAGGCATTTTATGTAAGATGTAGAAAACACAGTAGGCCAACAAACCTTCAGCCATTTTACATGCAGGAAGTTGAGCATGTAAGAGAAATTTACCATAATGTTATCTCCTTCAGGGCGGGCGGGGTTTAGTTGCTAAGTGCACAGGTGAGAGACAGAGAAGAGATTATACCCATGAGCACACTGGAAGGGTCACTTCTGCACAACAAAGCACATGCTCAACAGGTAGTAAAAGCTCATGTTCTTTATTTAAGAAGAAACAAACCATATTTGTTTTTCTACATAGTTCATGTAATAGTGCCTGTCTAGAGATTCAGAACTTTTAAAACAAAAACCAGTTGATACTTAATTTCAAATCAGACTCATTTGTGGGAAACATACACTTTAAAAATTACAAATTAACACCATTAAATTTTCACCTATGAAAGCCTACTTCATATCAACACATCTATTTAAAGCTCATTTATAGTCTGTGAACTTCTGGCCCTTGCCACCATTTTCTCAGCCATAGAGCTCTTGCGTACACACATGAGAGATAAGCAACCCCTGGATTTCTACTAAGCTGTGGATGCAGATGTGTATAGGTGAGGGTCAGTGCGCTAACCTACGGGGTTACAGGCTAAAGATTTAGATTGCTGTGGAAATACTTCAGTCCACAGACAGAATTTATGCTAAGGGAATTATCTGAAGGGACACTTTCTCATAGATTTCTTTAAATGCTAAAAAAACCCACTAAAACCAATTTTTTTCTTCTCATTAAACAAATTTTTTTTAAAAGCTAATATTATGATTAAGTTACCAAATACAGGTGCCTTATGAGTTAAATGTACTAATTCAACTTTCTCCTTGCTTCTCTGACATGATTGTTTACTGCTGTTTTTGTTTTGGAAAGTTTCTTACTCACCCTACACTGGCCTCAAACTCAGAAGGCAGCTGAGGCGGTCTCTGAAGTGCTGGGATTACAGGTCTACCTATGTCTGGCTTTCTTTATCTCATTACTGTTTATTTATTTAGTGGTGCTGGGAACGGAGTCAGGGCAAGTATTCTACGGCTGACCACACTCAGTAGAAGTCTTACTGTATCAACTACCTTTTCATATTCACTGTGAAACTTTTTTATTCTCACTATGCTGGATATGTTTTTGAGGACCACTTCTGATATGTTTTAGTATTTTTCAGTACACAAACCAGTAAACAGAAGTTACTCAATGCTGGAGACAGGTAGATTATGTTTGGCGCTTTTTTTGTTTGTTTTTTTACTGATGGAGCTAAATCAGTTTTTACTGATATGGCTAAGTCTAATCTGCTAATTTATGAATTGAGGGTATCAGAAATTTTGCAGTATTAATGAAAGTAGAATACATTTAACAAAATTAACATTCAATACAAACAGAATTTAAAGACCAATAACAGGAAAACAGTAAATGAAGTATTTTAGAAAGTAGTGATGAACCCCTCTCCCAAACCTAACTCGTCCAATAGTGGGTAGTGACAAAATAACTCATGTTAAAAAAAAAAAGAGCAGTGAAATTAAACAATATCTAGGCTAAGAAATACCCTCTTTACATGCCAGCTAAAACCCAAGAAATATAGGAAAAAAAAAAAAAGGCAAACCTAAAGTCCCCATGGTTTCTACATTTTCATTTTCCTGAAGGACAGGGGTCAGAACACATTCCATCTAATGGAGCGTGCTTCAAGGCTACATGCAGTCCTCAACTAAGAGGACTTTTCCTGCCTGATGGAATTCACATTCATGGCAATGTCTGAAGAAGAATGAGTCAAGTAGGAGAAAAAACCCAGCATTTTTGTCTGGACTAATATTTTCATTATTTGGCTACAGATAAATTTTGTTTATGTAATGCAGTTATTCTAGAAATCTTAAATCAAATTGCTGGGTTATACGGCCTGTATCATATTTTAATTTTGAACACAAATTTTCATGGCTGTAATAACTGCCAACAACTCTCCAGAATCGGTTTTCCAGAAGGTGTTTATTATATTTAGTTCCCCTCCTAGGAGCAGTGCTGCACTACTGTAGTCTATACAGTATCGTAGTCTATCAGAGTGCAAGTACGTCTCAACTGGAACACGGCAACACTATTCTTGTTCCACAATCATCAGATGTTCTTTCTACTCCAGATATTTATTTTCCCTTTATTAAGGGAATAATGATTCTTGTTAAGATTTTCCTAATTATAAAGTTAGAATCTTAGAAGTCAATCCATACTAACTTATCTATCATAACAACTAGAAACCAATAAATTAATGTAGGGTCTCTTGGCACCTACTGCATTCATTTATAAAATGTGAATTTTACAGAAGGTCTGTTTAATGGAAACCACTCCGTGATGATGATGCTGTGATAAACTGAGAAGTGAAAATGAAAGTGAAGTACTGTCTTCTCAGAGCCAGCCCTGCCCAGCACTCACTAATACAAAGTATAAACTTCACTATCCAGTAATTCTCAACCTTTCTTTCTCCAAAGGAAATTGTGGGACATCCCTGGCACTGTGGCTATATGCTTACGATGCAATGACTGTGGCTGTGGTGGCGAGACCTAATATCATGACTTGTAACAACACATATCCCTATGCTCAAATTAAAATGGTAGCTTCCTCTAACAAACTCCTGTTTGTTTATAATACTATTTTTCAAACTGTTACATCCTGATTTAAGTACTGTACATGATGGAATGAAAATATAGACAGCATACCAATAAAAGTTATATTTAAAATCACTGAACTATCATATTTAATATCAGACAATTTTAAAAAACCTATTTTGAGGCTGGTTTTCTAAAGAAATATACCCAAACTTATTTCTCCATATGGTTTTCTTCCTTTTCAAAAGACCCACCTGGGAGACCATGTTAGCACTATTCAAGCTTTTTAGAACTACTCTTGTTGACAATTCCTTTGAGTTAGACATGGAAAGAAAATTCATTTACTTTTTAAGCCATAGACAAATATTTTCAAACTTGATTCATTTTCACCTTAATTAAAATCTTTTTCCATCCCTACTATAATATATCTATTTCCCTTTTTTTTAAAAAAAGCATATTAGCCATGCACACTTAGAGTAAAGCACAAAGCAGCTTTAGGAGACACCTCCATGATGGTGATTAGTTCCTCTTGATAATGAGAATTTTGTATTGGCTCGGGTGTATTTAGTTCTGACCAATCTGTTTCATAATAGAAATGTGGCCTGCTTGCCACACTGCTCTGTGATCTGCATTTTACATGGTGTATTGGTAAAATGCTTCAGTCTTTGAAGTTACTGAGCTGAAATGGTTGTCTATTGGACACAGATAGACAGACACTACTTACTGAACTTTTAGTTTCTGCAGCTTTTGCCTTTTTTAGTCTTGTTTTTGCAGCATCCAAATCCAGTCTCTTATTCTGTAACAGTTTCCTTTCTTTCTATAAGTAATCAAAAAGAAAAAAGTAAAGCCAAGGATTCTAAAATCTGTAAGACCATCCATATACTGGACCGCTGTTCTCACTATGTCACAGCAGCAAATAGAACTCAACTATTACCGAATGAAATTTCAAATTTACAGACAAGTATATAAACAGTGTAGTGTTCTTAACAGTAATTCAAGTTTCTACATAATGCTTTATAGTAACTGCAACAGAGTCCATTTTCTTCAGTTTTATATTCCATGTATCAGATTTCATCCTACTGACATATTATTATTACTTTTTTAATGGAGGGGACTAAACCTGCTTTTATCATGCTAGGCTAACACTCTAGGACCGAGCCATATTCTTGGCTTAAGCTAGTATTTTTTTTTTTTTAGTAATTTCAATTTAAGTAAAGCCCCAGACTACTTATGTTCACAGCGGTAAAGCATGGTAAGCATACTGAAGTGTCCTAGGATATTCTGTAGTATGGAATATGTAGTATGTATGCAAATTCAGGGCTGTACAAACAACAATGAGCAGCACTGACAAAGTCTTATGGAGAAACATTCACCAAGGGCTTCTATTCTCTGTCAGTAGTAAGACAACCTTTCTGGACTGACAGATTAAGTTTATAAAGAAAGTGACAACATAAATGTTTATGCTTCAGCAATGAACAGCATTTAAAAACAATACACTTCTTTGAATATATAGCTAAACTATAGAACAGAAATACAATTTTTGATACTTAGGTTTCTAGTTAGTTTAAAGTAACATGCAAGCATACTATAGTGGTATTTTATTTTCATAATTATTCCAGGCATTTCTTCATAGATGTAAGTGTTGGTAATGCATGAAAATCAGTGTGCAGGCATATCAACAACAGTGTGGGGCTAAACATGGGATCAACAGCAATGCAGGGCTAAACACTGGCACTGTGTGACTAAAAGCCTTTTCCTGAGGTTTAGTTTGTGTCCTGGTGAATATGCACCTGTTTAGACTATTTAAGCATCTAAATCTGCAACATTTACCATAACTAAGAGGGTAGATTATTCACTAAAGACAAAGCAGAGATCTAAGTCCTGTGACAAACGGACCCTTTCCTACTTACTGCGATTGTTTTGTAATCCCCTTCTATAAAGTTTCTTAAAGGAGTGAGGAAATTTAAGGCTGATGTTTGAATCAGCTCTCTGTCAGCTGTTCCAATTCGCTTCTGTGTTTCTCCACATTTAATAAGGGCATTGCCTTCAAAGGAACAAAAAAAATGTGTCTTTTTAATGGTCTAGTAATATCAGAAAATATAATTTACCTGCTTGATCTGCTTAAAAGTTCACTGTCAGCCTGTTTACAGCAGCAGAATCAAACATTATTTGAAAGGTACACTTATTTAACAAACGTAAGGTAAATATCTAAACGAAAAGGACAAAGATGAACTACACGCCTATCATCCTCTAACAATAATCTCTGACAATGAGATTAAAGGGGACAGGTACACGGAGACAAAGCTGGCCTGGGGACGTGGCCCAGTACAAGCACAGTCTTTTACTGGGTGGATCACCTCACAGTCTGTCCAGTTTCTACATCTATATCCACCTCAAATTCCCTAAGACTTACTTACACCCTAAGAAAAGCTCCTATTGAGGCACCAGGGGGCAGCCTGGAGATGTTGGCAGACTGGGACACAGCGTAACTCTCAGCTCCGTTCCCTAGGCTCCTGTCCATGAGCAATCAGCACCCATGGACCTGTGTGTTTTTGTTGGTCCAAAACAAGGGTTTCTTTCTACCTTTTTGAACTTACTAGACTGTCTCATGGCTCAAAAGAAACCCTATACATCAAACCTGGAAAGCGTGAAGACATTTAAAATTCACTCGTTTTTGTTATCATAAGCCAGGAGTGATGAGTAGTGTTAATTGTCAACAAGACAGAATCTAGAACTGCCTGGGAGAGGGCCTTTGGGCATGCCTGGAGGTGGGGTGTTAATTTAGGTAGGATATATCTTCTCTGTTGTGGGACTTTCCTCTGGGCAGGGACTGCAAGCTTTTAAAAAACCCTTTGAAAGCAGGTTCATCCCTGCTTCTAACACAAATGCAATGAGCCATCTCTCTTAGGTACCTGCTGCTGTGACTTTCCAGCCATGACCCCACTGTAGTCTGGAAGTGTGAGCCAAAGGAACCCTTTCTCTTTGGAAAAGGAAGGGGGGGAGGGGGAGAGAAGGAAGGAGTGGGAGAAAGAGAGGTCACTTACTCACTCACACTTTACCAGAGGCAGGCCCTGACATTTAAACATTAAAGTAGCTAAGCAGAGGTCGAGAGTAGAGCCACAGAAGGGAAGCCACACATCAGGATTCTATTTCCAGTTCTACTTCCATAAGCTTGGGCTCTGCAGATCTTAATCCTTTTATGTTCAAATGAGGTTAGGTTCAGACTGGTAAAGAGGTAACAACTCCTGCCTCTGGATACAGACATCTGCATTTGAATAGTTACCAAAGTGTTCACAGATTCTTTAGTCTCTTCAAACCTAAATTTCTTATTTTTAAAATGGGCACAATAGAATTTCTACTACTAACAATGTTACAAAGCAAGACCCTGTCTCAAAACTCCAAAAGATATTTAAAAAAATGAGGATTTACCAAAATTACAAATATATTGTGCTTAGCCCAATGCCTGGGATACACATTTTTAGCCACTTTTTCTTATAATAGATTCTTAAAGTTTAGTTCCAATTACCAGATACATTTACCAGAATTACTAGAAGTGAAAATTGGTTAAAAAAAAAGAGAATATCTAAAATATTTTAATATTCATATTCTCCTAGAATCTCCTACCTATCTCTGATAAAGAGCCTAGAACAAGCAAGCAATATATCATGAATAAATCATGGAGTTTCCCTAAAATTAGCAATTATTATTAGCAGTAAATTTAATTTCAAATTTAATAATTTCAGATTTCTCAAAGAAATCAAAGGATATACTATAAATATTTTAACATTACATATATTAAAAAAGCTATTCAAGTGGTTAATGGCATTATATAATATTTAGGTTTATTTCCTTCTAACACAAGCAGAATATTAGTCACAGAAATCTAAATTAATCCTATGTCATAAGAAAATTAGGTCTGATAATAGAAACATGGTGAGGTTCATGTAGGCCCAAAGACAACTTAATAGGGAAGGGTGTTTGCTACCAAGCCCGACAGCCTGAGTTTGATCCCTGAGACTCACATGACAGAAGAGAGATAATACACGCCAGTTGTCCTTTGACCTGTGCATAAACACTGCAGTACACACACACATTCATATAGGCACACACGTTCACACAGATGCACACACACATTCATATAGGCATACACATTCACACAGATGCACACACACATCCATATAGGTACACACACTCACACAGATGTGTACACATTCATATAGGCACACACGTTCACACAGATGTACACACACATCCATATAGGTACACACACTCACACAGATGTGCACACATTCATACAGACACACACAGATGCACACAGACATCCATACAGGCACACACATTCACACAGATGCACACACACACATCCATATAGGTACACACATTCACACAGATGTACACACACATTCACACAGATGCACACAGAGCAAGCACAGCAACTAACAAAGCTGGGTTAGCTGTAAACTCACAAAGCACAGTGCATTCTTCGTATCCAGGGATGGTGACTCCTTAACATACTCTGGGTGCTGACATCCAAAAGGTAAACAAAGCAATGTGGTCTGGCCAAACATTTATGTGTGAAGCACTTTTAATATAAAATAAATAAGCACTGAAAGTTTTAATCTAAGACATTATAACAATTAGTACTATAACACAGGTCATGTCAGACCAATAAGAACAGGAATTCATTTAATTTTTCTAAGAGAGATGTGAATGTTCTATTTTTTCATCAAAATTTTATCATAATAAACTTGATGTTAAAACTGATTTGATCACATGTTGACATATTTAAATAGTAAAATCTAAATACAGAAATCTTTCCATTCAGAAAGTCCTCCACTTGGACTTACCATAAGCTGTCCCTGGGCCAAACTCAGTCCCTGCGTCAATCATGTATTGTCCCAAAAGTTCCGGGTTGTTTATACGACTTGGTGCTTTTCTATCCAGTTTCTCATAAACAAATTCTTCTATCCTGGCATCTAGGAGAGAGGTTAAGAATATCAATGTTTCAAGAGAGCGAGAGAGCCAGGCATGGTGGCACAGGCCCGCAACTTCAGCAACGGGAGGTGGAGGTGGGAACGCTGCCATCCGAGGCTAGAGGCCACTGCACAGCAAAGACCTTTACTCCCCAAACCAGAATAGATGGAGAGAGTTTAAAATAAACTAGCAACATTAAAAAGTTTGTTCCTCTTCTAGTCACTTACTACCTCTTAAAAATACAAAATTAGCATTTATTCAAATGTGTCTCTTTAAGTCTAATTATATGCTGGCTAATTATATAATCTCTAAAGGTTATAGTTCAGAAATCTAGTAATATAACTAGGCACAAAAGTAAATATTCTAAAGTCAAACTTGCTATTTGGGTATTTTTTTGAAATCTTACATTTTGGAAGGGAAATTTATAAATTTAGTATATAGTGAAGTTGCCTTTAACCTCCTCTGAAATTACGCTTATGATTTTAAAATCAGGGGTATGTAGCTAGGGAAATATGGATACAAAGTATCTAAGGTCTAAGAGTCCTCTCTGACAACCTTTGGCATGAACATGTGATTCTCTTCCAGAGTCTAAACATAGAGCAGAGCTTAAGGACATAGCCTGCCTTGGAGCAGTCTTCAGACTGATCAGCAGTCTGTCAGCTAAAATCTTTTGTTATTGGTGGGGTGGGGTGTACACATGTGCAGACACATGCAGTAACATGCAGTAATCAGAGCTGATGTTTGGGTTCTTCCTAAATTACAGGTGAACAGGTTTGGTTTTTTGGTTTTTGGTTGGTTTCTTTTTTTAAAGGTCCAAAAAATAGTAATGGAAATACTTCAGAAGTTGGCTAAATTGTTAATTCTAACACATAAAATATAAGAATTAGAGAATTTCAAAATAATACTTTCTTTTTTTTGGCAGAGTCTGCTGTAAAACCACAAGAACTGTAAAACAGAACTTAAAAACCTTTTCATTAGCCAGGAGCATGCCTTTAGTCTCAGGACTTTGGAGGCAGAGGCAGAAGATTATCTGTGAGTTTGAGGCAAGCCTGATCTACTTTGTCGTTCTAAGTAGCCGAGCTATATAGAGAGACCCTACCTCAAAACAAGAACAAAACTCCAAAACCTTTACTAAGAGCAAAGTGAGTCATTTTGAAATATCTGTCCATGAAATACTGACCAGGTTCAATTTTCTAATTATGACTTTCATTTCTAATTGCTTTATACCTATATGGTCAAGAGTTAAAAGGTGAATAATCCTACATTGTTTTGATTCAGTGAATAAATATGTACTATATTAGTAAGTATTGTTTCATTTCATTAGGTTATTCACTGGAATTCTGCAGGCATTTCTGCTAAAACATTATATATTTATGCATAGTTCTTTAAAAATACCTAAATTATAGGACTTTCAGGAAAGATAAAAGGTTACTTTAAGTCCATGTAATTTTATAACTAGAGCACAAAACAATCACCCTGATTTACTTCCTGGGAAACAAAGGAGAAAAGGCTGGAACGGATATTGTGTTATACGCCTCCCCTGGCCCGCCAGTCACTGAGCGCACTTGTCATTCAGAAAACAAACTGTATACACACTGTTCTACATGTGTGGGGCCCTGAGTAGAAAAAGAACCAGTAGAAGTGTCAAAGTATAGCTGTATATAATTTAAATGTCAGTTAATGAGCAAAAAACACTGTACTGTGTCTGTGGTGTCCAAAGACATGAAGTCTTACTCAAGGCTTGCATACTGAATTTTTAAAGTTTCTAACAACTTAACTATAATGGCACATAATTACTAGTATTTTTAATAACGCTTGGAGTTTAAGACAATGGAATTTTAGAATGTGCTCACAATGTCAGTGTGGAAAGGAAAGCCTTTGCCCTTTGGATTTGGTATTTAAAGAGCTGATCCTTAACAAGACTACAAGAAGGGCAACAGTCAACTGTTGGGAGTCCCAGAGATGGAACCACCAACCAAAGAGCACACAGGGGCTGGACATAGCGGCCCCCCCCCCATATGTAGCAGATGTACAGCTTGTCTTCGTGTGGGACTCCTAACAACTCAGGGGCTGGGGGTGCGGCACTCTCCCTGACCCTGCTGTCTGCCTGTGGATCCTGTCTCCATAACTGGGCTGCCTTGTCCTCAGTGGAAGAGAATGCACCTAGTCTTGCAGTGACTTGATGTGCCAGAGCGGGTTGCTGTGGGGGGGACTCCCCCTTATCAGAGGAGAGGGAAGGAGGGACGGGGAGGGGCCATGTGAGGTGGAGACTGGGAGGAGGGGAGCTGCAATCGGGATGTAAACTGAATAATAAATAATGGGACTAGATGTCAATACATTTGGTTCTAGTTGGAGGTCCACTTCAGTCAGCTTGCTAGGCTGCATACGAGGCTCACCTAGCCATTCCATTCTGTAAAATCAGTGCACATCTCATGTGCAAGGCTACTGACTGATTCTCAACACTTTGTGCTTGTCTGAAAACCAAGTTTAATAAGTTATGGGAAAATGTCAAACTTAAAATGTCTGTTCTCCCAGAAGGCCTATGTAATGCAAATTTTAACTTTGTTAGGAGGTGTACAGAAGTGTCCACCATCCCTTCTAACCTAAATCACATACATAAAAGCCATAGACCCTGAAGACACAAAATACACTATTTTCAACCTGAAAACCATTGGCTAGCAACACTTAGGGCGGGAGAGAAGTAGAGGGGCTTACTTGGATTTGGCTGCAACAGCACTTCAGTCTGCTTCATTATTTTTTCTGTCCATATTTTGGTACATTCAGCTTTGCTAAGGAGGTTTTCCAGGTGAGCATCCAGTTCTGTCTTTTCTGCTTGGCCAAGCTTTTCTTCTGTGAACTGTGAATATTTAAAATAAGAATATAAGGATATAAACACAGTTCAAATACATAGGAAACTGCCAAAGAGGAAAAATCAACTGCAAACAATTCTAGACACGTAAATAATCACTCCACTTGTTTACGAGTCACTGCTTACTAGCGCTGTTTGTGCCTGTGGTCCGTCATCCATCCTCCCACCTCAGAGCTTACAATGACTACCTGTGCCCTCTGATAAACTGCATGGGATGGATTCAGTATTTCATTCCTAATAAAGACTAAGGCTTGGATTGGCTGACTCGGACTTCAGATGCTGACTGTATGTTAATTGACACGGGCAAGCTTTTCAGTACTTTTTCCTTTTGTATCATCTATCATAAAAGTAACACAATCAATACGTTCTTTTGAGATGAGATTTTACTGTGTAGCTCAGAATGGTTTTGACTTTTTCCTGCCTCAGCTTCCCAAACAAGAAATGTTTTGAGGATTAAGTAAGACTGTTTATAGAAACAAATCTGCTTAGAGCCTAGAAATATTATTCAAATTTAAAATATTTTAATTCTTTTATAACTTATGTATTACTTGTAAGTTTAACTACGCCCAAGGTACACATTTATAGGATCCTCTGAGCAAGTGTCATGTGGGTTGTTTCTTCAGAGTTCGCTCCAACAATGTGTTCATAGGCTACTTTTTGCTACATTATTCATACAGCAGAAGTAGTTTTTTATAAGATTTATTTATTTTTTATAAGACTTATTTTTAAAAAAGAATTTAAGTATGTGTGTGTGAGAGAGCATGAGAGTGTAGGTGCCCAGAGTCCAGAAGAGGGTGCTGGAAGTCCTGAAGTTGGACCAGTGGGAGTTGTCAGCACCAGACATGGGTGTTGAGAATTGAACTCAGGTCCTCTGTCTGCAAGAGTGTATGCATCTTTATTCACTGAGGTATCTCTCCAGGCCCAAAGTGTAGGTGTTGACCAGAAAATGTAGTTGAATACATTCAACATACCTATTTTGATTATACAGGCTGTGTTAGTGGCTAAGGAAAGGCAGCCATGTCTATGTAATAGAGAATAAAGGTCTCTCATCACATGGAGCCTTCTGGATACTTTTAGATTAACAACAGATGTGATATCCAAGGCTCTATGTCATGTGTAATTCTCCTCTAGAATATACGGCGTTCTCCTTTAATGTAGGAAAACCGACTCAATGGTTAGTTAACTGAAGAATGTTTCCCTCACCCCTTGGCCTCCACTCCTTTCTTTTGCTTTATTTCTCTGGGTTTTATATCCATCTCTTTGGACCTCATTCTTCCTGGATTAATACTCCCAAAGGATTATCAGCACTCTTAGCTGAATGGCTCTCATAGCCTTGTCCAAAAATCCTACACAGGCCAGAGGTCACCTTAGTGAATAAACTGCAAAGAGCAGTGCAAAAGCTACTGCCGTGAGACTCCCAAACCCGCCAACCACACTGGGCACAGTGTACTGTCACCAAGGTCTGGGCAGCAAGAATGGCAAGCCCTGATCCCAAGTAAAACTGATCAGCAAGTAAACTGTGTTCGAGTCCTTAGGACGAGCAGGGAGTCTTTACTTATTCTTCAGGATTCTAAGCATTTGGAGAGGCATGTATTAGAACTTTACATATTCAAACTTTACCTCCAATGGTTAGGTAAAACGCAGAAAGCACAGAGGGAAAGGAAACACACTTAGGTGATCATTAGTTTTAAAAGATGATCAAGAAAATTTTCTCTTAGCTTTTAAAATATTTGCCATTTTTTCCTTTATCTATTCACTCCTCCAACAAATACTGTTTCTTTAAATGTAAAATTATGTTTAATTTAGTGTGTATGTGCATATGCACACAAGTGGCAGGAAGTCAGAGGACAGCCTGCAAGTATGTTCTCTCCTCTGTCATATAGGTTGTGGTGACGGAACTCAAACACCAGGCTTGGTGACAAGTGACTTACTGGCTGAGCCATGTCCCTGGACCTCAACAATACTAAGCAGCTATTTAATGCTAGTACTAGGGTAAGCACTCAGAGTCCTAACAAAACAGGTAAAGCTTTTGTTCTTAAGAATCTAACATTTTTATAGGGAAGAAATAAAACAATTTCAGAATAAGGATGCAAAGGTTTAAAGACACTCAACAGAAGACCAACATAGCTGACTATTTCTTTCTGAGTGGCATAATAAATCCAGAAGAATAAGTCCAGAAGAATAATTATTTGGAAGAGGAGGAATCAGGAGAATTGGGGACGCCATCACTGGCGAAGAATGAGCCTGAAAAAGCAGGGGTGGCACCCTGGGACGGGGAACAGCATCCCTAGTAAGAGCGGGTCGTCTCAAATGAGCCGCGCAGAGACTTAAGTGTGCAGGCTGTGGGGCACACAGCGTTCCCTCTGATGACGGCCAGGTGCTCTTTCCACAGGCTCACCATTACCGCTTTTATGTACAGTACACGTTTCTGTAAAGAAATCTCCATTATATCCAAGAACAGACTTTTAAAGAATAGATTAATAACAGAAAAATCAACATCATTAATTTTTTGTATGAAGTATTCTTCTAATAAGAAGATCTGGTCTCTCTTACAAAGTAGAACTAAATGAGATGTATTATCTAAGAATTATGAAAATACAGGCCCCCCTTTTAGTATGTAAAATGTCAATTTTGTCTAACATATTTAGTGATACTAGATTTAAAGGTACAGATTAGAAACTATTAAAACATGTTTATGATTGAAACTCAAGATACAGTCACTGAGTTTATTGAGGCAAGTTAGGATTCAGGAAAGCTTTGTGACAGTATTTCTAATGACTAGAAACTTAGTGGCTGGTAGACTGTGAGCTGTAAGACTAGTAAACCCTTTCTTTCCCAAGTTGGTTTTGATTATGGTGTTTATCACAGCAATAGAAAGCAAGCTGCAACAGTGACTTACAGTAGGAATCTACAAAAATGAGTAGGTTTATTTTAGTTCAGAAGACAATGAACAAAACAAACAAACAAACCCTCAAAGCTAGAACAGCAAACTCCTCACTGGCAAAAGAAAACTTTCCACATGAGTCTGAATGTAGAAGCTGTTTAGACAACAGTTCCGGAGGAGCCCCACTGCCATCCCCCAACAAGGTGTTCAAGAAGCAGGAAAAGCTCTACCTTCTGTTCACACTCATTCCTGTTCTCATTATACTCACACCTATGCTTCACAGTTCAGTAAACATAGCCTCGCTAGTTCTCAAAGTTTTAACAATGTATTATTGTTGTTACTATTGAGAGGCAGACAGCTGAGGTATGGACACCCAGGATGGCCTTCAACTCCATTTTCTTGCCTTCCTCTTCCGAGTTTGGGCATTGTGGTATATGCACCATGCCCAGCTTATTTCTAAAATGCTCCCCGACCCCCAGAAGAGAATGCATCTTTGTTATGCTTCTGAATTCCCTAATGTCAGGGCTTAGTTTGTGTTAAAAATCCCATATACTAAGGTATACATTTTCTTTTATCAAACATTTTCAAAACCTTATTGGTAAGAACAATAATTCTCGTGACGAAAAACGTGAGGACTGGAATGATTAACACTGGCTAAGGTGCCTACTATTGGGAATGAATAATTAATTGTTTGACTTAAGCTGACCTCAAGAAGTTAGTAGTTTTTATTTTACTATCATAATCCAAATATACCCATGCCGTGCTTTATTGTGTTGTGTATTTGTTAGAGTACTGTAGACCAATCTCTGCTTCTTCACAGGGTACCCAGTTAATAACAGAAGTAAGGTTGGCTTAACTACTATCTTGGATTAAGAAAACAGTAGGAACCCGGGCTGGGGAAGATATGCAGTAACATTGCTAACACTATATTTCTAAATGGAAGTAATTAAACATATTTACTAAAATTTAAACTTACAAAAATAGGATTATTTCACATCATCTTATACTTGGGGGCCCAACTTCTCAAAAAGCATAATCTGATACCCACTTTTCCACACTATTTCATCTGTAGCACAACAAAATGGTACAAAGACTGAAGGTTTAAATTTTTATATTCTGTCCTTAAACACTGCTTTAAGGGACTGTCTTTGAGTTGAAAGCATTATACTAGGCATTGGACGAGTTAGTGAAATTTAGTCACTTATACATATTCTACCCTAACATATTTTTAAAGTACAAAGACTTAACTACCTATTTATATATTTGAATAGTTTTGAACTCATGTTTCCATTTAAAACAAAAGAATAATTTCTAATAAAATGCCTGAGCAAAATGTCCATACCTACAGAGGTTGACCAGAAATGGCTCACTTTCTTAAAGCACAATTTTATTTGAAAGGAAATTATCTAAAAATGAGAAAGCTTTCTCCCTACTACTCTGCTTATAAAGAGTCACTGCACAGCTCTTAACTGCTCTTGGCATGAAACCTGGCACTTTGGCACTGTACCGGTATCACCATAGCTCAGAGTAGTAACTCAGTTATTGACGAAGGCTAGAATAAGAAAACAGTGCTTTATTGTAAACTAATATGCCAGCCTCAGGATTTCACATTAGAAACACCCTTTTTTCCTTGAAAATTTAGTTGAAAAATACTGTGGAATGTGTCGAACAAACAGAAAACTAACAGTGTAGTGAAAAGCAGCATAATAAAAGCATAATAGATAAATAAATAAAATAAAAATAAATAAATAAATAGCAGCTTCAACAACCATCAACATTCTGCTAATCTGCTTTTAACTACCCAGTCTTTTCTTCTGAAACACTACAGCTCGAACTAGTTTGACCATAACTTTTCAGTAAGTAATGTTGATAGACAACATAAAAGGACACAGGGAAAATCTCAGTTTCCATCCCCTCCTTAATAAATGGTTGAAGTCACAATCCAGAGTTACTTTTCACACATCTTTTTCTGCTACTCCAGGGCTAATCTGACAGCTGACACTGTCAACCAAGTCACAAACACCCTTAGCTGGTCCTGTGGACACAGCTCTTTCCACCTGGCCTCCCCAGGACTCTGAACTTGTTTCTTTTGTCTGGAATAGCTTTCTTCCAAAATAAAAACCAAACAAACATCAAGAAACCACAACTACTTGTGTCTCCGTTACTTCACTAAGGTCTCTTGGTGCCTCATCCTATTAGAACGGAATGCCAGACTCTCCTGGCACTACAGCATGGCAGCCACCACCCCTACTAAGTGCCCTATCTGCTTCCACCACCTGTATGTTCATAGGCTATGCTGCTGGACGGTAAGGTTCGTGAGGAAAAACACTCTTCTGATTTTATTGCCTGCTAAGCAGTGAAGCTAAACATGGAACATGTGATTGAGTAAGGCTGAAGAGAAAATTATTTGCCACCTTACATGTTAGGATACAACTTAAAAAACTTTTTTTTTAAAGCACTGGAAACAATTAGCAACTAAAATTCATTTGAGAAGTGCATTTTTCATGAAATTTTCTAGGTCACTTTTAAAAATCGAGTCTTTCAATAGTTTAGATTGAATTATTATGTATTAAGTGTCTGAGACACATAGCTGTATTAAACTGTGCATTATGTAGTGTCACATTTTCATTAAGTACCCAGAGTAACAGGTAAGCAACACTAAACAAAAGTTACCACAGCCTCCGGGCCTCTACTGAAGTCAATGTTAGGTCTAACAAAATCTCCTCTCACCCCCCAATTACTGAATCACACATTTCTGGGGAGGAAGGAGGATGAAGGGTTAAGTATGGCTGTGAGCTTGTCACTCAATACATTGGTCCAGGGAATCAAAAGTGAGCTGGAATTTCCCATCTCTAAGAGTTACTCACTGTTGGTAATAAAGTGTTCAGATTTTACCAAATGATCTTTAGGTTCCTTGGCGGCCACGTCTTATTGCTCTTCTCCACACCGTAACCCTGCGCTGCTCATTCTGAAGGAAGGATCAGCTTCTAGTGTAGTAGTGGGTCAGAGGGCAACTTTGGTTGTATACCAGCCAGGCAAGTCAAGCGAGTTATTTACCCTCTGAGTCTGCTTCCTTTTTAAGGGAGGGTTAACAATGCCTCTCTGGCAAAGTGACAGAGAGGGGCTGCGGCTGATATGTTCAATGCACAGCAAACTGCTCGTCATACTATTTTTCGTAAGACAGGCAGTCATTACTTGGGGGAACTGACCGGTTCTTTTGCCAAGGATAATGCAGTATGGTATTCACAGTGCCCATAAAATTAAAGGGAACAAGCAACACGTGAGAGTTATGGTTCGGTGGGATTCTGGCACATGGGACATTACTTTTGTTTTCTCCTTACAGAACAGAGGGCTGCTGCTAGCTACCCTATGTCAGTAACTTCAATTCCAGATTGTTTACGAACCATGTTGTGAAATTTACATCTGCTCGGAGATTTAACTGAGTTTGCATAATGTGGGTGTTGACTGTAAAAATCTGCCCAAGTTCCCTATTGCTGACACTTCCTTGATCACGGAATAAGAAGACGCAGTGAACTTTTCCCCTCCAAGTGTGCCTGAAGCATACCAATGTGACCAAGGACACAACAACGTGAATCATGTCGTCCTCTCAGCCCTGCTCTACAGCCCACTTGGGGAATGGGTCAGAGCACCCTTAATCCCAGGTGTCCTGCATCCTTGGCGAAGTTGGGACACCGACAGGGACAGGCAACCTCCATTTCCCCCACGGGCGGCTAAGCTCTGGGACAATCCTACCAGGGACAGAGAGATGGCTGGTGGGAACAGAGCTGGCAGCTCCCCTGCGTTGAGGGGTAGGAAAAGGAAACTCCCTTCTTGGTTGGACGCGGCCCGGAGGGCGAGAGCGAGCGCAGGGAAGGGTGGGGGTGGCGAGAAGGTGCTCGGCGTGCCCTGCCTCGCCGGCTGGGGCACCCAGGCCTCCGCCCCGGGGTGAACCCAAGATGTCCCGGGCCGAGGACGCCCTGGGCCGCGTCCCGACTCGCCTCGCCGGGCGGGGGCCGGCGGTGGTGGGGCGAGCGAGGCGGAAACGGCCAGCGGGGCAGGGGCACCAGGCCGCGCCCATCGGCAGGCCTTGGGTACCCCGGGCGACGCCGTCCCCGGCCGGCCCTCCCCTCGCCCTCCCTGGCGCCACCACCCCGGCCTCAACCGCCGCCGCCGTCGCCGTACCTGCACGGCCCGGCTGAGGAAGGTGCCCGCGTCGGCCGCCAGCTTCTTCACGTTGAAATCCATGATGTTCATGCTGGGCGGCAGCCGGGCAGAGCCTCCGGCTGTGCTAGCGGGGAGGCGGGGAGCGCCGCGGCCGGGCTGGGGCGCCGGGCGACGGCGGGGTGGACGTGGTAGGTGGCGGGAGGCGGCGCCAGCCCCGCGCAGCTGTCGTTTCCTGAGAGGGAGGCGGAGGGGGTGGCGAGGGGGAGGGCAGAGGGCCGGCGCCGGCGAGCGCGCGCCTCGCCGCTCACACGCTGGGTCTGTCGCGTCGCCGAGCGGCTGCAAGCCACCGGCGCGAAGCTGGCGTCGGGAGGAACCCACAGCGGCCCCGCGGCTCAACCGCGGCGGAAAACAGCCGGCCGAGGGGGCGTGGCCTGCGTGGGGGTGGGGCGGGGCGGCCTCGCCGGAACAGCGACCCCTGCAGGGTGGCCGGGGAGTCACCGCTGGGTGGAGTCGCTGCGGAGGTTCTCATGCGAACAGCGACCCCTGCAGGGTGGCCGGGGAGTCGCCTCTGGGTGGAGTCGCTGCGGAGGCTTTCTTAACAGCGACCCTGGAGGCTGCTCACTAAGCACCAAGCCAGGGTCAGTGGAAGTTCTTAGCAGAACAGGAGCCCCCTGGGCTGCGCCTCACCTCACCCTGATTCTCTCCCAGGGCGTCTCGGCGAGTATCTGCGACAGAAACGCATGGAAAAATGTTCCTCAGAAAAGCATGGACAAAAAGTCCCTTAAGAGGAAACCTAGAACCAATGCTATAGAATCGTTGGCCCGGATTTCCTGGATGGGGTCTGGTGTCAAGGGCTACCTCTTGCATGGGCAGACACCTACAACCTTTGCTGAACAGGATTGTCTCTATTGTCCCCTACTCTACTATACCTTGACTCACTGTTGGGGACCTACTGTGTGTCAGTCATTGAGTAGGTGCTGAGGGGTTCAGTCCCTGCGGTGGCTTGTGGTCATCTGAGGCATATTTAGAAATATCTCACATCCCCTGGGAAGGTATGTGAGAGCATTTCAGAGAGACAGTGGAGAAGACAGACAAGGTTCCTACCCGGTTATGCATTCATTCACTCCTAAGTACCTACTGTCTGGCAGGGCCTCAGCCTTCCAATTACTGGCAGTGGGATAAAGCCATAAGCCCCTGCACTCAGCTAATTTAGTTAATGTTTTCTGAGAAAAGGCCTCGTGTGACCTAGACTGGCTTCAAGTACCCGAGGATGGCTTCAAACCCATCCTCCTTCTGTCTTTGTTTTTTCTTTCTTGTTTCTCCCTCCTTTTCTGTCTCCCTTCTTCCTCTATCCCGGGGATCAACCCACTGTCCACTAGATTCTGCTTTGCAATTCTTATCATGTAGCTTTCACTTTGATGTTTCAAGATGCCTCTGAACCACTAGGTATCACACACATGTTCTCAAATTAAAAAGAAAATGAAGGACAAAGGCAAAAGTACACACCAACTTAGTATCCTTTCTCCTTTTGAAGTCAAGCATTTCCATAACCTCCAGCTAGTAAACTTTCAATTTCACGTCCTTGGAGAGAACTGGGCCTTTTAGGTCCTTACAATGGCAGTTCCATCTAATAAATGCAACGTGCCCTGGTAAGAAACTAAGAGTATTTGTGAGAGAATAGTAGTTCTTGTCTTTAACAGTACGTATTGTTATCTTGAACAAAACAGAGTTTGTGCTAGCAAAGAAGAGAGTAGTTATAGGACAGGCAACTATTAACATTTGCTCTGCGGTTGTCATGCAAGACCGAAAGGAGCCTTACACTCCCTGGAACTTCTCTTCAGGTCTTAGGTCAGTTATGTAATTGAAGAAAATCAGGAGGAAATTCTGAGGCTGGAGCTCACTGGGTAGAGTTTTCCAAGTGTACGTGTTAGGCCAGGGGTTCCATTCCCAACTGAAAGAAAACAAAACTTACAGGAAAGAAGGGAGAGTGGAGTGGGCGGCTGCACGTCAACCCTGTTAAAAGGTGATCAAACAAACCGTCGTTTCTTCTGTTGTCTATCTTTTGATGTGTGACAATATTTTTTTGCAATTTAATGCCATTTTAGACAAAAGCTAAAACGTTTAATTTTTTGTGTGAATTTTACTATATATTAACAAGGAACAATAGCAGATGAGAGTATCTGTCTGTTATATGCTATAGAAGGATTTTGTTTTCAAACCTGTATTTGAGTGTTTTGCCTGCACGTATGCTCATGGACCACTTGTGTGCCTGATGCACTCAGAAGCCAGAAGAGAAGTGCACCAGAGCTACGGACACGGTAGCTTCCCACAGTTACTTCCCACCCTGGACCACTGAGAACTGAACCGTGGTCCCGAGCCGACTCTCCAGTGTGTGTGTGGCTTCTGCAAGTCTGTGGGGATGCTGGAGAAGAAAGGGTGGGGGGAAGTGTTGACTTCACATTTGCATCTTTTTCTACTGTGTGTGTTTTCAGTTTCTGTCTGTGTTTAGGTTTGTCTAACATGGATGTGTCTTAGATGAACATGTGTGTACACATGCCTACACACACATAACGTTTCTGGCTTGTATGATTTTTGGATTTTAAGAAAAATACTGACTTAATGGATACAATGCATGGTCATTAAAATATTCAAACAGTGCAGAAATGCACAAGGATGAGAGTAACCAGGAACTCAAATACTCGGAATTAGCCAGTGGTGGCATTTGTTATTGTCTCTCTGTAAATATAGGTGTAACATGAATGACACAGGCCCAAGTGTGAGAAGGAGAGCAACAGATGGACAAAAGAAGGGGTGGCAGAGGGGAGGGGAGGGAGGGCTCACACGGTCGTTTTGTATGAGGGATTTTTCATCTTTCTCTTTTTATTTATTTGTTTGTCTGCTTTGGAGTCAGGGTCTCTATAGCTTAGATTGGCCCTGAAAGTGTAATCTTCCTGCCTAGTCTCCCGAGTGCTGGGATCCTGCTAAGGCCAGACAACCTTTCTGTTTATTCCTGGGGAAGGGAGCATGTAAAGGCCCGTTCCATCCTGTGTACACTTGACCCTTCTGCTTCTCTCCTGTCACAATAAAAACTTCCTCTGTCATCAGCGATCACATTCATAGACTCAAACAGGAAATTTACAATATTGAACATTTACTTTTATGTTACAGAGAGTTGTAGACAACAAGGAGAGTAAATTTGAATTCAAAGGTTGGATTTTAGTTCTACTGCAATTTCTAGTTTAAAAATATGAATAAGATTGCTACAAATACAAAAACTGTCAAATTGGGTACAGCCATTTGGGTACTCAGATCAGGAATAAACTTGACAGCCTGTGCGATGTTGGAGATCTTGGAGGTGAGACCTGCTTCATTTTTGGCCTGAATTGCAATGTAGAGCTGGGTGCCATTTTCTATTTTAAAAGTTTCTGGTTTGAACTTAAATATTTCGTTTGAGCCAGCCTCTTTAGGTATCAGACCGGAAGTATTCACTAAAGTAGCGTAGTTAAAATTTCCTTGGCGATCCGGAGGATGCTGGCTCATCCTGATGATGTATCTATATGCTGGAAGAGAGAGACATCATGTTCGTTAGCGTCCTGAGGACGGTTCTCTGCCTCTGCACTGCGCCTGTGTGGAGTTCCGAGCAGGCATATGAGCTTTAGACTGAGAGCCCAGGTACCGTTTGTGTCTGGTTATCCCATCTCACTGAGTTTAAAAACAGTATATGAACAGTTATTGAAAAACAAAATGTCCAGTTTTAAAAATCACAGAAAAGCTTAATTCAGTATCATATATGTGGTCGTTTGAATAGGTTTAACCCTTGGGAAATGACACTATTAGGAGGTGTGGCCTTGTTGGAGTAGGCGTGGCCTTGTTGGAGGAAGTGTGTCACTGTGGGGGGTTGAGCTTTGAGACCTTCGTCCTAGCTGCCTGAGAGATTCAGTCTTCTCCTGTTTGCCTTCGGGACAAGACATAGAACTCTTAGGACTTGCAGTGCCATGCCTACCTGCATGCTGCCGTGCTCCTGCCTTGATGATACTGGACTGAACCTCTGAACCTGTGAGCCAGCCCCAATTAAATGTGAATCAAGATGTAGAAGTCTTGGATTCTCCAGCACCATGTCTGCCTGCAAGCTGCCATGCTTCCCTTCATGATAATGGACTGAACTTCTGAAGCTATAAGCCAGCCCCAGTTAAATGTTCTTCTTTATAAGGGTTGCTTTGGTCATGATGTCTCTTCACAACAATGAAATCCTAACTAAGATAGAAGTTGGTACCAAGAGTGGGGAATTGCTATATGATAGGCCCGACCATGCTTTTGTTTGGAGGAATGTGGATTTTAGAACTGTAGAAAGCAGTGGTGAGCTTTAAGTGGGGCTTCCTGGGCCATTCTAGTAGAAGCATGGAAGACAGTGGTGTTGAGGGTTATTTGAACTGTAGGAAGTATTTTCTGAGAACACAAAGAAGTTGTGTTCCAGAGATGGACATCTCACTGGTAGCCGGACTTGGTAATGTGTGAGAGTCACCTGGTGGTACTGGTTTTGAAGGCATGAAGGGGTCATGAAGAGCAGCTGAGGCTTGGCACTGTGAGAGGCCAGGAAAGGCCATTGGTGAAGGTGCAGTCTCAGTTGCAGTTGACAGCCAAGGCCTGAAGAGGTCATGCAAAGAAGGTGAAGTTTGCCACCAGGAAGAGAGGCTATGAGAGGCTATTGGTGAGGCCTAGTTGCAGCAGAAGACCCCAGCATATTGGAGATGCCAGTACCATGGAATGACCACCAAGAACAACAGCAGCAGTGGAGTGGAGTTAACCAGAGCCCGGAGTGCTACAGAGGGAGGACAGAGCTGGAGATGTGACCCAAGCCCTTTGGAGGATCCCAGGAGATCATGTGTGGATCCTAGACACTGGAACAAGAAGCTGTGCAGTTGAAGTTGCCTTGGAGACACCAAGATGTTCAAGATGCCAGAGCCATGGGCTATCTGCTGAGGAAAGCTGCTGTCAGGGAGTGGAACCAGCTCACAAGAAAGAAGTTTGTTGCAGTGAACAAAGATGAAAGGAGTTGAAGATCTGAAGAGTGCTTTGACATCAGGCATGGAGATGCAAAGTTTGGAGTTTGCTCAGCTGGATTTTGGTCTTGCTTTGGTTCAGTGTTTCCTGACTATGACAGTTTGGAATGCTAATATATATCCTGTGATGTTGGAAGTATGCGATCTGCTTTTTGATTTTGATTTTATTGGGGATTACAGGTAAGTGATTGCAAGAATCTAAGAAGAGACTTTGAACCTTACACTTTTAACATTGTTGAGACTGCTATAGACTATGGGGACTTTTGAAGTTGGACAAAATATATTTTGCATTATGCTAAGGCTAAGTATGGCCCTATAGACTCACATGTTTGAACAAGCCTGTAGGGCCAGTGAGTGGAACATGGTGGTTTGAATATGGTTGGCCCATGGGAAACTGCACTATTAAGAGGTGTGGCCTTGTTGGAATAGGTGTGACCTTGTTGGAGGAAGTGTGTCACTGAAGGAATGGGCTTTGAGGTCCTATGTCTGTGTTCCACTCAGTGAGGGAGAGAGTCTCTCACAGTTGCCTTTGGATCAAGATGTAGAAGTCTTGGCTCCCCCAGCACCGTGTCTGCCTGCAAGATGCCATGCTTCCCTCCATGATAAAGGACTGAACCTCTGAAGCTGTAAGCCACCCCCAATTAAATGTCGTCCTTTATAAGAGTTGCCTTGGTCATGGTGTCTCTTCCCAACAATGAAACCCTAACTAAGATGATACACAGCCAGCCTTCCACCCAGAATCCAGATTTCCACTTAGAAAAAAAAAAAAACCAGAGTGAGATTCAGTTTTAGATTAGAACAGGGATCACATAATGTTCCTATGCAGTAAAGACCATAAGTGTCTTCTGTGACTTCTTATTACGTTGAAGGTAGGAGCAATGGGGGAGCACTCAGAGACAGACCTGGGAGGAGGGCAGACGAGGAGGAGTCAAAGATCACAGAAGCTGGATGAACACTAACAAAACGTGTGCTCAGGACCTAGTCCGAACTCCACCAGCCCTTAATTCTACTCTACTGTTCTTCTTTAGAATTTATTTTTAATACTTTATTTTATTACGTGCGTGGGTGTTTTGCCTGCATATATGTATGTCTGAGCACTATGTACATGTCCTGTGTAAAGGAGGCCACAGGAGAGTCCCTTGGGGATGGAGTACCAGATGATTGTCAGCTGCCTTGTGGGTGCTGGGAATTGAACCTGGGTCCTCTGAAAGGACAACCAATGCTCTTGCCTGTTGAGCTATCTCTAAAGCCCCTCTATCATTCTTTAATGTGTCTCATCTCCAGTTTCAGTGTGTGTACGCGAAGGCCAGAGGCTGACTTTGCTTATCTTACTCCACTGGTTTCCATGTTGCAAGAAACAGTCTTAAAAAAAAAATCTTTGGCTTGAATTGCAAGAACTTGGTGCTGTTTCCTATTTTTAAAGTTTCTGGTTTGAATTAAAACATTTGCAACCAGAACCAGGTATTCCAGGTATTACACCTGGGCAGTGACAACCCTCCCTCAGGTGCCTGTCTCTGTTCCCCAATTCAGTGTGGGGTTACAGGTATGCCCCAGCACGCCCAGTTTTTATGGGGTCCAACCTTTGGTACAGCAGCAAGCACTCTTCCCCCTAGCCCCTCCCTCAGCTTCAGTTTTTTAAATATATAGCATATTTAGTTTTCTAAACCCACTCTTGGAATGCCCACTATTCCAATGGTGAGAATTATAAATGACAAGTGCATGAAAGTGTTTAGCGCTACTTAATAAGTAGTAAGTAGTAGTTAGTGACTGTCTGAAACACTTTTTAAAAAACTATTATTTTATCAGGAAAGGAAAGAAGAAGGCTTAAATGAGTGTTGGCTAACACACTGATGCCGACTTTAGTAATCTACCTCAGTCGTTGATATTGATATGAAAATACCTTCTTATGTTTTGAAATGTGAGAGAAAATCATCTCATGTCCTCTTTTGGTGTGGATTTAGTTTTTTTATAAGCTTGTTTGTTTATTACCTATATGTGGCGCTGAGAATTGAACTCAGGGCTTCTGCATGCTAGGTGAGCTCTCTACCTCTGAGCTATATCCCGTCCACGTGGATTTGTTTTTTATGTTTTCAGGAAATGTGAAAATGTTTTAGATGTGTGATGAGAAGCTTTACCTTTTGAATCAGTCCGCATCGGGTCTTAGCTAAAGCAGCTCTTAGAAACTGGATTGTTTTTGAAAACTCAATGAATAGAATTTGCATAAGTATAGAAAGACTTAGAAAATTGTTCTTAGGAAGCAAAGACTGTGCCAGAAAGCTGCTAGTGTTTGTTTTGAAGTAATTTCAGTTTTTACATTTAAAAATGAATGAATAACGGCCTATAGTAGACACTCCATAAACATTATTTGTAACTGAGACATTGGGAAAACTTTAGGAATAAAGGCCAATGCGATTTCATTTAGAAACTTTAAAATTCACCATCAGACTTACCTCTTCCTTTATCGAGGACCTTGCCAGGGGCCGTCCATGTAAGTTGAATATGATCATCACCTGTAAACTCAGCCTCCAGGTCTGTGACTTTACAGGGTGGGAACACGTGAGCGTGGTCGCCATCAGGGGGCGCTCCAGTCACAGTAAACGACCCTCCAGAGGTTACTCTGCTGAAGTCTTCCACTGGAGCTTCTGTGGCTTCTTCTGGGACTTCCGGTCTGGGTGGATTCAGTATAATTTTACCTATAAAAAAACACCCCAGGTGTTTGTGAGTCTCATATTATCTATTCGTTATCTCATGCTGACCTTACATCTGTTCAGGACTCAGGTAGATTGACAGCAGACACTGAAAAGTGGAAGAAAGGACTGGACGGTTGGCTTAGTGGTTAAGAGCACTGGCTGTTCTTCCAGAGAACCCGGGTTCGGTACCCAGCACCCATATGGTAGCTCTCCCCTATTTATAGTTCCGCTTGTAGGGAATCTGACTGCTTCAGATATACACACAGGCAAAGCACCAATGCACATAAGATAAGTGTTAAAATAACAAGAGGGAGAGAAGCTTGCTTAAATATCATTTTGAAATGTGGTAAGTTAAAACGAATTTTCAACCCCGCGTTACCCACCACCTTCACTGAGTTCTGTGGCGACAATAGTTATGTTTCACTCAGCTTTAGCATTTACCACAGGGTTTGTTCCACGAGGTCAGGAAATGTATTTTTCATTGGAAATGAAACAAACTGAGAAAGACGTTAACAAAATATGTGGAAATGTCATTTATGCTGGGTCCATTGATATGAATATTGTTTTAGGTCACAAGGATGATTCCATAATTATATACTTGGGTTTTCCATGTATGTTACTCTATTCAGTGTTTGATATATATCAATATCTATCTATCTATCTATCTATCTATCTATCTATCTATCTTCCATCCATCCATCCATCCATCCATCCATCCATCTATCTGCAGGTAGTACATATCTGTTTTAATACCACTTACCGTTTTCAACATAGCCGGGTATATATAAAGACTTGCTCTTTTGTCTTAAGCTTAGCCTGGCTTTGTTTTTTCTTGCCTGGACACGCACTTTTAAGCTGTATCTACCATCTCCACGATAATCTGTAAAATATCTTGTGTAGATGCCGTCATTTTTAACAGTATCAGCACCTTGATAATGAAGCAAAATAATCAGTCACATAGTAAGTTAAAAAGAAAACTGACGCTGCTTGTCCACATTGGTGATAAGAGGTTGTCAGAGAGTACAGCACAGTTTAAACACAAGATCGTACCGTTTCGATACAAAGCCTGACTACATGCTAATGCTGTTGTTTTAGAAAATATAGTATGTAGTAGACATTTAATTAACATTAGCCATGATTTTTATTTCACAATAGAAACTTATCTAAAAAACCTCCCAGAATAGATCAAGATATTCAGCAAAGAAGCAAGATATAAAACCAACATAAAAAAATACTTAGCAGCCAACTTTTGTGAGACGACAGTATTGTAACCAATGAAGCTTATCTGATGTGAGATTATTACTGATTAAAAAGCCGGTAGCTTTTCCATACACCAGTAATGAGCATGCTGAGAAAGAAACCAGGAGAACAACACTATTTATAACACCTTGGGAATTACCCAGGAGTAACCTTAATCCAGGACATGAAAGACTTCTTCAGTGAAAAATTTAAACCACTGAAGAAGGAAATGGAAAAGGACACCACATGGTGGAAAGGGCTTCCATGCTTACATCAGCCGGACTAGTATTGTGAAAATGGCTGCACAGCCCAGAGAGATCTGCAGATTCATTCAGTCCCAATAAAAGGTTTAATGGCATTCTTCACAGGAATAGAAAAAAAAAAGTACAACCCACATGGGAAACACAAAAGCCCCAGAATAGTCAAATCAATCCTGAATAAAGCGAACAATGCTGGTGACATCACCCTGCCTACAAGTTATACTAAAGAACGACAGCAACAAAGTAGCAAGTGCACCAGTGAAATGGAAGACAGAACCTAGCATTAAACCCACGTATCTTTCTCTCATGTGTAGCTATTGAAATTTAATTAGATAAATAAAATATCTGAAGGTAAAAGTGAGACCAGGATGATGAAGGGGGGGGGGAGAAAAGAGAGGGAGAGGGAGAGGGAGAGAGAGGGGAGGAGGTAGAGGAGGGGGTGTGGTTAAATCTGTAATATATGCCTATGGAAAGCCTGTAAGTACAGACAGTTAATACAATGAATATTTAAAAAGAAGCTTACCAGAACAAAGAAAATATAACTAGACACAAAAAAGCACATGCAAAGTCCTAACATTAGTGAAAATGGAAAAACCATATTCTCAAGTTCCATGGGAAACATGAAATTGATAATGGACTTTAATCAAAATAGTGCTTTTGTCTAGGCTTGTTTTGTCAAGATAACCAAGTAAAAAAGTTTTAAAGATATTACTCAAATAGGTTCGTAAGTATTTTTTTTTAAAGTGTTAATTTTTAAGTTATAGAATCCTATAGGAGAATTTAAACTCATGGTGTCTATACAGGCTCCCATTACCTGCCCCGTCGTCCCAGAGCTCCAGGGTGACTTGATGTCCATCTTCAGCTTCTATGATGGCTGTGACATTGGCTCCCAGAACAGGCAAAAACCCTTTGCTGACCCGTGCGTACACAATCATCCGGCTAGGGTACCGGGCTGTGCTCTGACTCATGTGAGCGAGAGCCATGAGTGGTGGCGTGGTGGGACTTCTTGCTCGAGTGGTCACTGTCACCGTTAGCAACTGAGACTTGTTACTCTTAAGGCTGTAACTCCAAGTACCTGTCTGAAAGAATTCTCTTTGAGAACTTTGCTAATGTTTTCCTGCTACTTGTGATGTACAATTACTTGGAAAAATAAACAAAATTATAAAATCTGGGGGTGCTGAATATGGAACCCAGGCCTTATGCGTGGTAAGCAAGCATCCTTCTAATAGCAGAGACATTCCTAACCTCAATAATGATCTTAATAGGTGATTGATAATATAGATTTGAATGCTTACATATTCGACTTAATTTTTAATAAAAAATATTCTGTCGTTTTAAAATACTGATAATGTAACATATCTTTATATTTTTTTTAAGGACAAGGATGGATTAATAAAACACCGTGAAAAGAACAGACTTACCTCTGCACTGCCCGGTATTTCAAGTCGAGCAGACCGGATGTTTAGTTTATCGTCTTGGAAATCTGAGGTTGTATATTTTTTTCTTTTTGGATCTTGAAGAATAATTCCTGGCTTTTGTACCGTCCAGGTGATAACAAAGAATGTGTCATTGCCGACGGTACTGTCCACAGGTACTGTACCGTATATCCATGTCCCTGCTCCGATAGTGAAGGCTTTGCTCTCCAACTGTAACAGAAATAAAAAGTAAACACATAAATCCCATCTATTATTTTAAGTAGTGGAAGTTTAGACTTTAAGAAGTTCACAGTAATTTAAAATTCATATTTAAGAATCAGTTGCAATGATGATTTTTTAAATCTTTTAAATCTTTAAACGATGAAGAATTTTTTAAATTCTTCAAGCCACCAATCCACCAATCTTTTTCCTCTTTCTCCTCTTTCTCCTCTTTCTCCTCTTTCTCCTCTCTCTCTCTCTCTCTCTCTCTCTCTCTCTCTCTCTCTCTCTCTCCCTCTCCCTCTCCCTCTCCCTCTCCCTCTCTCTACCTCTCTCCCTCTCTCCCTCTCTCCCTCTGTCCCCCTCCCTCTCTCTCCCTCCCTCTCTCTCTCTCTCTCTGACACACACACACACACACACACACACAGACACACACATACACACAGACACATACACGCACACACACATACACACACAGACACATACACCATGTCAAACTAATAGAAGGACGCAAGAGGAAATTTAAGCACATTTTACATGCCATATAAAAGAAAATTCACTAATGTTGTTTTTCATAATAGGATTTTTTTGTTGGCAAAAGAATGATTTATTAGAGAAAGAACAGGTAATAAGAAACATAGTAGGAATTTATTGTAACTGTGAGGAAAGATTGCAAAGTACTCTCTCCATGTACTGACCTGCAGAGCCTGCTGGGAGATGCTGCCACCTGTAGACAAAATCCCACTGAAAGCATCAATCAGGCTGGTGCTGCTGCCGGCATAAAAGCGACGCCCTCCTAAAGGGAAGTTTTAAACGGGAAAATCAAATGCGCTATCAGAGATTTAAACTCCACTTGATGTTTCTTTTATTATTAAATAAAAATTACATTTGTATGTGTGTGCCTGTGCTTGTGCATGTGTGTATGTACACTTTGTGTGTGTGTGTGTGTACATGTGTGTGCACACATGTCACCATGTTGGTTTAGGAGTTGAACTTAGGCTGTGAACTTGAAGGTAAGCATCTTTACTCACTGAGTTGTCTCACCAGCCTAGAGTTAACATTTCCTTTTAAGCTCTGCAAAAGATGAGTTTCTAAGAATCTCATGGACATTCAGAGTATCACTGAACTTACTATAAACCTATATTAATAAAAAAAATCTTATTCAAAATAGGTCAGTTAAAGATAAATGGAAAATGTAAGAACAAGGCAAATTTTATTATTTTATGTGAATCAGCAAATGTAAGTGCAAAAGTAAAATTGGCCTCAGTACCCAGTGGTTCTATAAGAGGTGAGACTTAAGATTGCTTAGTACGTATGAAGCGGATGCTGATTTCCTAGTTGGATCAAAACATTCCTAGACTATTAGAGGATGGCAGTTTATAACAGAAACGACATGGGCAAAATGCAAAAAACAAATGATGCAAGTGAGAGAAGATTTTTGGGTGTGAAGACTTGGGAAAGACTTAATCACAAAGGACAGGACTTAGACAAATAGCTGCCAGAAACACACCAACCAGTGCATGTTAACTAAACTAATAAATGTCGGAAACGCCAACGGGAAGATCCTGGAAATAATTCTGGCCGGGGCGTGTGAGTGCTGGGTAAGGGTGTGTTGGGAAGATTTGACAGGAAGAGACTATACAGAAATATTCCAAATTCAGATCTCGTGAGGTGATGGGAGCAGAGTGGGCTGGCGGGAAGTTCTGAGCTCGTTACCGGGGTTTTAATTGTAGTCTTGAGAAAATCATTTGTAGTCTCCAGATTTCCACCTCCTCACCTAAAAATGAGACGTCTAAATCTCTACTGCGGGGTTGAATGGTATTTGGGGATTGAGCCGACACTCTGGACTTGTATTTGAGTAACCACGGAGACAGAAACTTCTGTTTAGTGTGATGAAAGGAAGGTGGGTGACGGACGAATGAAAGCGGCAGGTATTAAATAATTTAAGACTGTGTCACGTGAAGAAGCGGAGAAAGGGGGGGGGAACTGAAGTTGAAGGTCAAGGAAGAGAGAAAAACTAACGTTAAGACAGAGAAGTGTTAAAAAGCTTCCCACTTGACGAACATCTGTCCAAACTCTGTTCCGAAGTTGTACCTGTCATGTCCGACAAAGTCTCCAGCTCTCGGGCAGCAGAAGGCCCCAGGGCGATGGTGTGGATGATGGCACCGCTGCGTTTGACTGCCTCAAAGCATAAGCTTATATTCTTATCTTCCCCATCTGTCAGCAAGACGATCTCCGAACCGGAAGTACTCTGGCCACTGGTGGTAATTGTCTGTGAAAAGCAGGATGTTAATTACACGCTGACACTTCTGAGTAAACTTATGAACACACGTTTTTATATTCTCTTTCTTAGCTGAGCTGATACATGGAAATAAGTAAACTCTAGACTTCTCAGTACTTTTAATCCTCCGGATATAGACATGTTGGCTACTCAGTTGAGGAAGAACAAATCTCCAATAATGGTTTCTGGCATACAGTAGCTACTAAATGAATACAAATTAAAATGAATGCAAATAGCTGCTATTATCTCCCCACAGAACACTTGATGGAGAAGCAAGACTTCCAGACAGTTGCAGACGGCTTCAGACTCAATAGCATTTGAAAAGTCTGAATAGCAAAGTTGGACAAACAAGATTGAATTATATTTGATATGTGACTTTTTCATGTATTTTTGTTTAGTTACTACTAAAGAATTTTATGATTTCCCCAAAATAAAACAAATTTGGCTTATCATGAAGGAAGAAGTTGATATATTTTCAGTTGTAATTGGTTTTCATATTTTTCTGACTTCTATCAAAAGTATTAGTTAAGAACCTTGGTGTTCGTTACCTTGGTTTTAGGTACCTTGAGAAGAAATTCTGTTCTCTAATTTATGTTTAGTCTTTCCTGAGATTTTCATAAACACACACACACACACACACCACTTATTGTTAGTGTAATGATCAAGTTTATAGACTGTAGAGATAAGGTAATCCTAGATTTGGCACTTGTCTTATGATGGATAGATTTCATTATTCCAAATTTCAGCCTCATTTTGTTCAGAATGGCTTCAATAATGTTACCCAACTCCCAAAAGGATATAAGATCCTACGTCTACAGCATTTAGCTCAGACAGTAACGTACTGTACAGCCAACATTCAGCTACTTCTTGATTGTGAAAGTAGTACATTTATGTCTCAAGATGATTTCATCAAGTGAAAGCTATTTGTTTTACACACATTTTAGAACCGAATAGACATATGACAATTATTTTCAAACTAGCAAACCTTTGTGAAGATTACTTATATAATTACCACAGTTAAATGTGGTAAACACTATTAATAACCATGTCATCTGGGTTCAGGAAACAGGTTTTCAATATTGAGCTACTTTCACAAGATTCTTTAGACAATACACAGTAGAGTGAGCACCTCAGGTTTAAAAAAACCCATCTGGTTTTTGACATGGGTGCCACGAAGGAAGCTAAGGGATAGTGTGAATCAATGGTCTGCATAGGGTAGCAGGGATGACTTCCACAGAGGGAGGATGAGCAACAGAATGGTCTTCCGATTCACTGCCTCAAAACATGACCATAACTACACGAAAGTGGAGGCTGACTTGTGGTGGGAGAGAATCAGACCGATACGGTAACCTCTCAGTACAGTGCTCAAAAGGAAGCCTGCGTTTTCAGGTCCACCGTCGTGATTTCATTGTATGTGCACCTGTGCTTGTTGATGGTTGCTTCTGGAGCTGCCTCCGATTTAAATTAGTGTGCTACGACTTTTATCCATACTATAGAGTTGTTACAAACGTCTTTCTATCCGTTCAGTGGCACTGTCTTCTGTCCACACAAATTGTATCTATCGATGAGATCCCAGAGAAATGGGTAGTTCCTCAAAGAGGCTTTGATAACCATTTGCTCAAGGAGAGTTTGCCCTCTCCACTCCCGAGTGCCGATTAGCATCTCAGGATTTCATCACACTGATATGTGTAAATAACAGTTAATGAAGCTACTTTTTTTTTTCTTTCAGAAATGCTTCGGCTCATTCAGATCAGAATGCTATTAAATGAGCGAACGCTGAATTCACGACCCTGTTCAAAGGTAGACGGATAGGATGGAAACCAATAAGCAAAAGGCAAGTTATATTAAATTTAAAAGACTACCTGAAATCCTGCTTCGAGTCCTGTGCAGATTGAAGTCCCACCAAAAGCACGTTGAGGGAGGCTTGCGGTGATCTTTTCGCAGTCACTACTATTGGTTATTTTTATTAGGAGATTTTGGATTTGGGCAACGCTGTCAAAGGTGACTAATCCCACCATAGATTTCTTTTCGATAATTTGAGTTAAGTACAGTTGGGCTGCTTGATTCATCCGGATAAGACGGTCCTCCTGTAAGAGAAAGACGTGTGAAAAGCAGCAGAGTCTCTTCAAACCTCGACAGATTAATGAACGACAAAGTCATCCATGGGCTATAGGACATGGTAATAATGGACATTAAAAAAAAAACTAACTCTTTCATCTGATTAAAAAGTTTAAGATGTCTAAATGTTAGTTGTCATAGTCATGAAGCCTTCAAAGTTTATGCGGTATTATCCAACCGTTAACTATTTGGAAGTTTCAGCGGAGGAAGTTATCTTTAAAGTGCATAAAAAGATGCTCATTGGAATATATTTTTAAAAAGTAACATGGTAAATATCTCCAAAATATCCATTAATAAAGAATGATTTGAGAAGATTATGGAACACTGTTTATATAATATAACCATTAAAGATTGTTTCTGTGCTCTTGATGGACTACTGGCGCTTCCAGAAAACCTATGTTATTAAACAATAACTTCAGTGTCAAGTGTGAGATACTTCCTTATGAGCTGCTGACCAAGGAGGCTCCAAGGGTCCCCAAGCAATATAGATCACTATCATTACGTTTGGTTGCTCCCCACGCCAGAACTAGACAGTCAGGCAACACACTTAGGCTGTGAATACGGAGAACTCAAGCCGGAGAGAAGCAAGGGTCATCTTCCCTGATGGATAGCTTTCATACTGCCAGAAGGAGCTATATAGGCCTCTGGAAATAAAAAGCCATAGATGGCGGACCCTGGCTGCTACAATGCCCACCTGCGGGACAAAGTGTGTCTGCTGGTGTAATGGTCACAATACTGCTAATGTGTAATCAACTGCTTTTTGATCGGATATGAGACCCCCTCTGCAAGAGGGAATGTATGCCTCACACTGCAATAATGGTCAGAAGCCCGGGATTTGCCAAGTGTGCATGTTATCAAATACTTACATTTAGAAATATGTTTATACCCATAGATTAGTGCCGCCTCAGGGTCTTAGTTTCTGGGGCATTCGCAGAAGCTTCTTTTTTCAGTGGGTAGTGGTTAATTCAGACTCATAACTGGTCAAAGAGCTGAGAATAAATGAAACACTATCTCCTGCCTTCTCCCCAGTCCAGGAAACAGGGCAGGAAAGGAGGGGGAAAGAGCGTTAGAGCTGGGGGTGTGAGGCGCCCTCTTCTGGATATGACGTGGTCTCTGCACTCGGAACTCAGCTCTGGTTACCTGCACACCATTCCTGTGTGGACGGGGGAGGGCAAGAGGAGCTCTGGGCAGTTCATGGCTGCCCGGGAAGGGGATTCATCTTTCTCGACAGGTTGCCAATAATGAATAGCCTGTGCTTTCTATACTCAGCGAGTCATTACTACAATACCCTTCTCAGAGTTGTAGATCTAACTGCTAAGTTGGAGGGAGAAGTAAGACAGGGCAGTGGGGTTTTATATATTAGAAGTATACTACGTACATATAGGAAATTGTGTCAAGTATTTTACAATGTATGGCATGGAGATGGGCCCACGTGCCTGGAATCCCAGCACCTGTGGGCCTGAGACAGATGGAAGGACACAAGATTGAGACCTTTCCGGGTGACATTAAGGACATGGCTCCGTATCATGACTGGGTCTCAAAAACACAACAGACAAAAAAAAAAAAAAAAAATTTAGTGTCAGAATGCATGTCTAGTATTTACAAAGCTCTGGGTTCAATTGCCCCTCCTCCACATGTGAGCGCACACACATACACACTCAATATTTTTTCATGAAATAATTTTTTCTTTCTCTTTTTGATGAGGAGTGCTTATGATATATTCTATAAAAGTTTGATTACAAAACATCTAAAGTATAATAGTTTTGGAGAGGAAAAGCAAATGCAGTAATATAAATAAAACAAATGAAATACTGAATGGTGAAATTGTAAATTTTTTCCTTTTGTTGTACTTTTTTTCTAGCAAGAACTGAAAAGAGCAAAAATGTCCTTTAATCCAATAAAATAACAACAAAACTTTTTTTTTTTTGAGACAAGGTTTCTCTGTGTAGTCTTGGCTGTCTTTGAACTAATTCTGTAGACTAGGCTGTCCTCTAACTCATAGATGAACCTGCCTCTACCTTCCAAGTCCTGAGATTAAAGGCATGTACCACCACTGCCAGGCTCAATAACTTGGTTTTTCAAACTTATTCTAGGTACTTATTTACATAAAATTGTTGGGTAGATTTTTCTGATATATATATATATATATATATCTCCCCATCCCATACACACATGTATATATATATTTAATCATGAATATACATAGAATATATATAGTTTATATATATAACTAACAGAATAAATTATGATTCTATATTTAGCTTAAATATTCAATTTAAGAAATCCAGCATATAGTTAGTCTTACTGAGCTCATGCTTCCGGATTTATCCAGCACCAAGCAGACCACTCGCTGTCTGGATCTGAGCAATGAAAATGTAGGCGGAGGAGGGGCTTCTGTTCCTGTCATGGGAGAGGTCTTCTGAAAGTCCGCAGAGGCCTTGATTATGTCCCACGTGCTTCTGTGATCGCACATTTTGTTTTGTAGGTTTGGGGCTTCTGTATTGTGGGTTTTTTCTGTGCAAAATTCAACCACCTGAAAAAAAATCAATTAAAACATGATATTGTAATAAATTATAAGGGGTCACCTTTTTTTCTTTTCAAATACAGAGGTAGTGTCATGTGCATCCTGAACAGGATTTGTCTCCGGACAATCCTGTTTATATGTAGATACTCTCCCATTCATTTTGCATGTTTGTAGCGGCATCAAGGAAAGAAACAGAAAGTACTTACAGAATTGAGGTTTTGCATGAACATGATGGAGGTCCTGGAAGTCTGAAATTTGTCTGGGATAAATATACATTTGGGTTCATACAGCCCTGTCCTCCGGTCACGACGGCATGCCCTTGTCACGCAGCTGTTTTTCTGACACTCATGGACCACTTTGGTGCCAATGATGTCTGTGGAACACCTGTGATGAAAGGATTAGATTACCTTGGCGGTGCTAGGCATTGACTTCAGGGCCTGCGCATGCTCGGCAAGCCCCCTGCCACATTGCCGCTTCCTCAGCGCCACATATTATTATTTTTTTAATTCTTAAGTTTTTTAGTACTAGGAATCAAATCAGCATCCTAAAATCTCTCTCTGTGGCAACTGCTGTTGGTCATCCTCTACCAAGCCCTCCATTTTGACGAGAGTAGATACAGGGCTGCACCCATCCTGGATGTGGATTTCAACAGGAACAGTGATTTTGAGCTTTTATTATTATTTTTTAATATTTATGTATATGTTTTGTCTATGTGCTTCTTGTATGTGTGTACACATACAAGACATTGGGCAATGTCGGCTGTTATCCGCAATCATTCCAATTACCTCCTTTGAGGCAGGGTGTCTCCTCGGCCTGGAACTCACCGATTGGGTTAGACTAACTCCTCCACCCCTGGAATCTTCCTTTCTCCCCCTCCCAAGTGCTGGGGTCATAAACATGTACCACCGTGTCAACATTTTTTTTTGTGAATTCTGGGCATCATTCTTAGGTTCTCATGCTTGTGAGGCAAGTATTTTATAGACTGAGACATATTCCTTGTTGGGTGTGAGGGGAAGTTCTGATAATAAGGTCTAGTTCCCCTATTGGCTCTTGATTTGTCAATAAAGGAAGCTGGGAGACAATTGTTGGGCGGAAGGTACAGGTGGGACTTCTGGGTCCCAAGAAGAAAAGGCGACACAAGGAAGGAAAGAAGAGGCGTTTCTGCCATGCTTTGGAGGAAAAGGGACGCAGCAACCACATAAGAACTCGGGGGCCTTCCGCCTTCGCTATAGGTGGGTTGCCAAAGATGTTTGGCAGGGGCTAACTAGTTCAGGGCAGAAGGAGAGACGGAGATAATAAATTGGAAGGGGCACACATTTCCAGGCAGAGGTATTTGCACCCAGCAATTGTACTTAGCAGTTAAGGTAACAAAACTGAGTGTCTTTCATCCTCAGATTCAAAGGGAAGCTGGATTAGGGCTAGTTGTGACTAATCCCAGAGCTAAGCCAGGTAGAACAAAAGGGAGGAGCGGGCTGGTGGCACGGCAGCTCCTAGGCACGGTGCTAGCAAGCTTTTAAAACTACATGCAACAGCATTTAAGAATAGCAGTTTTTAGTTCATATTCCTTATCGTTGTTACTTTGAGCTAAAGATAGCATTTACTGTATTATGATAATGTTGTAAAGGTGAAAGAGACTAAGAGTTACTTAAAAATTCTTGACTAAAAGGTAAGAATTATTTTTGGTGGAATGTGGTGAGTCAAAATTATGCTTAAAATTCTCTTAAATTCCCATATATGATGGCACACGGCTTTGACTTTATAGTGCTTCACGTTACCTTTTGACCTCCACTGCAGGAAGAAGTGAAAGTAATTAAATCAAACCCTTTGGACTTCATGCATGATAAAGGTAATTGTCAAGGCCCTGGGAAGGCATGGGAAGAGGCAGAAGAGCACAAGTAAAGAATTTCCATTTCTATGAGAATCTCTTTCCATTTTTAAACTTTGTATTGTTAGTTCTCTTCCATAGAATCGTTCTATTTCAAGGATAATGAAACGGCAGATAACTTCCAAAGAGAGTTAGCTTTAGGGCTAGCCCCAAATTTACATATCATGGAATGCTAGTTTCTGGCATGTTATAGGAACTCGGGGATATACCTCTTTTAATGATTGGTTTTAGGGAAACTCCTTAGTTTGCAAAGCATTTATTGTTTGATAATTCTTTGTTTAGTTTTGCGTTTATGCCAGGATCAATACTAGGCGATTAAAAAAAAAAAAAGATGAAGCCAGAGAGGCCCACACCTGGTGCCTGGGAGCTTTTCCCAGCATTGCCAATCGACTGGACTTCAAACGGGAGGAGCAGAAGTATCTAGAGAGAGTTTCCTGGGAATCGGAGACCAGGGTTGCTCTCAGCTGAGCCTTTGTGCACAGGTCCAGGCAGCTCTGCAGACCACACACCATGCGGGAACAGGGGTGGGGGCGGGGCAGGTGTTTTCTAGAACTCTACTTCATCTGATAGATGTTCTTTCAAAGACTGGCTGCCTCTTGACATCAACTTCTATTTTTCTCAATACTTTTCTCAATATACTAAGTGTCTGTCACTTTTAGTTTAAAGGCTTAAATACCTACCAGTTTATACATAGGGTTTGATTAGATTTTCCCTGAGAATTTTATTTCTTTAAAAAAAAACCAACGTACTCACGAATCCTCATGAGGCACATGATTTCTCACCAACTTCAAAGTAAAATATATTTATCACAAAGCTGTCTAGTAACTTAGTTGGCTTCAATGAAGCAGTTGTACCCTACAAGGTTTTGAAAGAAGAATAATAGAAGAGGCATAGAATGGAGAGAGAGGCAGGGCATAAGAGAAGGTAAAGAAGGAAAAGACAAGTGTCACGTGTCTTCTTTCTATATAGAATTAATATAAAATACACGTGAAGAAATCAAAGTGTAAAATAATGTTGAAAATGTCAGTAGGTTTGGGTTGCAATTTGTTGATGTTTTTGGGCTCACCTATTCATTTTTCTGCTACCAGTAGACAATGTTTGTAAAATTCCAGTGAGTATTGTGTTAGGTCCCTATATCTGAATATCTTCATTCCAAGGTGGGGACACCAGAATTAACCGAATATGTATTAATACAAAATGGTACAGTTTGAATATTGTGATGAACTGTCTGAACTCCCAGCCACCTGCACTGCCCATTACAGACAGCTGAAGACCCTCGGGCAGGAAGTTGTAGAATCAGATAATTCACAGGGATACCTTGTTGCTTCCATAGTTTTCTTTCCAGACACGTAGAAAGGCCGGTCCATGTTATACTCGTCAAATACTCCCCACCGGAGATGGGCCCACTCGTGGACAAAGACTCTGCCTGAGAGAGAAGACTGTCATCTACAAAACTGAAGTTAAAATATATGAATACAGTTTCCTTCTATCTTCAACTGCTTTGTCTGTTTCCCAAGTTAAAATTGTTACAAGCTCTAAGAAATTGATAATTTTTAATAGCTCAAAAATTTGAATATGCTAGTTACAACAAGTGACCCATTTTATCTATAAATTTGAGTACACAAATAGGTGGAATATAACTGTCATAATTTCAAACGCAGTTGTTAAGGCTTAATCTTCTTAAAGTCTTAGAAATCCACATTAATGGTAGTGGTTTGCTTTTCCCCAGTGGAAATAAGAAGTATAAAATAGCTATTTCTACCTCGGGGTCCATAGGTACGCAAGTTATCAGTGAGTAGGAAGCTTGGAGTGAAATGTATGTACTGTCCTCTGTCCCCACACTGTCCATACTGAAGGGTGTAGGGATCGTTTCCATATTTCAGATGAGGGTCAGCAACTATGACGTCTGCCTAAAGTGCAGAACAACAAACCCAGTCAGATTCCAGGAGAGTTAGAATCAGGGGATTTTACAAACAAGGACTGTCTCACTTAACTGATAAAAGCTGAGGCTGAGTAGAGGGCTCTGTGGGTTAAGTGCTTTCTGGTTATGCACAAGAATGTGAGTTTCAGTCCCAACACTCACTCAAAAGCTGGGTATGGTGACGTGTGTTTGTAACCCCAGTGGCGAAGCGGTAGAAATGGGCAGACTACTGCAGATTGTTCTCTAGATAGCCAAGCCAAGTTGATGACTCTCAGGTTTACTAACAGTCCTTGTCTTAAAAAGTTAAAGGTCAAAAGCAAATAGAGGAAACCATTCAATATTAACCTCTTACTCCTACATGATCACACACACACACACACACACAAACAACAAAACGCTATAATACAAATTACTAACAATGATTAATAATTATCAATCCTTGTAACTATTCATTTGGAAAAGGCACAAGAAGCAGTTTAGAAGCTGAACAGGAAACCTACTTTGTGATATGATTCTCGTTTTGGCACTAAATACTCAGATTTTGATTTCCAGGTCATCGGGACTAATATGCTTATGTTCCTGAAATAAACTCTTCTTTGGCTGGCTTCAAACAGGTAGGTGGAGGCTTGAGTTACCATTTCCTGACAAAATGAAAGGTGCATTGTGGTGACAGTCTCAAAACAAACAGCATAAATGTCTACACCCAAACCAGAAGAAGGAAACGGGGCTCCTCTTCCTCAAATACGTCTGCACAGAGTAACCGAAGACGTGGGATATGTTTGACTGAATCTCTTCAATCTGTAAACCCATTTCCACATGCCCAAAGCTAACCCTGATCTTGACCTGCCCACCCCTCCAGTTGGCAGTTAGACGGGAGACGGGACTGCAGTCTCTGGGTGGGTATGAAAGTGATTAAGGTCAGAGGTCTATAGGCAGGTTGTGTATTCAATCATTTTTTTGTTTTTGCAATTGCATTGTTTAAACCAACAGAGAGCTTAAAGTCTGGTAATTATTGTATTCTATGTTAATCAGAATTGCTTTTGTCTTATATTGAGTTATTGCCCAAGTGGAGTATGTAAATAAATGACCAGATTATTTAAAAAACCATATTTTTTGAAAACTTGATATATGAATGAGTCTACACTCTTTCCCCATTCCTCCCATAACCCTCACTTTCTCTAAATAGTAAAGATAAATAGGGCTGGTTTGCTAGTTGCTACAATCCTACAAACAAGCCATTCCATTGAGAGAGGAACCAAGCCTTCTGCTCCTAAGCACTGCATGGCGATGTTGCAAGGACCTAAGGACCAAGTCTACATTACACAAACATTTTTATTAAACAAATGCAATTAGGAACGCGTCAACCTTAAGCATGTGTAAGTTTTCCTTTAAGGTAAGACGGGTAAGGATTTTCAGTTCTCCAAAGTTGAGCTTGTAGGAGCAACCCGGGGAGTGTGCAGGACAAGCTGCTGGAGCTAATGTGTACATTCACTGTATAGACTGCGTAAACCACCGTTATTAGATAAAGGAGGAGAACTCTTCTCCACCTGCTCTGAAGTCTGTTACCTTACCTAGTTAATACATTATTAACAGCTTGGACACTGATTTTAATGTATAATAAAAATACAAAGGTAAGCAGATCTTCATCTTGACTGTAGATAATACTGCAGACATGTTGAAGACGGTCAAAGCGCCCTTTGGGAGGGTAAAACCGTGTGTGTGTGTGTGTGTGTGTGTGTGTGTGTGTGTGTGAGTTCAGATGTGCAGGCAACAGAATTATTGACCTGAAAACATGCAGTTAATGAAAACCCTTCTTACCTTTATGCTTGGGATGAGTCTTTCATCCTCGGGCACACTGGGGTTAATTGCAATGACCACACCCTCGTATCCATTGTTGTTGAGATGGACCATGGAGCCTTTCACAGCCTGCAGGAGATGCAGGGTGAGGAACAGAAGGACCTTCAGACCTGGCCCCATGTTTGCAGATGCTACAGTGAGACGGTGGTGGCACAGAAGGGTGTTTATATATGTGCTTCACTCAGGAATTTGAATCAAGACCAGAACATTTGCATAATTTGATAAAAATGCTGATATCTCTTGGGACTTTCCTTTTCCAACCTAAAGCCTTGGTTGTTAAGTGACATGGGTATTGGTATTATGGTAAATACATTTATTGTAGTTCTAAGCCCGTAGGTAGATAGTGTGGAGCTGCCACAAAGTTTGGCTAATTAAGGTCTGTTTGCATGAGTTTAGTTTGCAAAACTGCAAGCCGTCCCGTGCTTAAGTGGGGAATGAAGAGTCCCTGAATCTGCCAAAGGATACTAGAAAAACTGGCTATTAGGCGGGAAACCACCTTCTTGGCATGGTCCTACCGCCAATTGTTGATAACATTCCACTTTGCCAGCCCGGGCTTGACGCACCTGTAAGCTCTTTCCACATTATCTTTCTTGGAGCACTTTAATGTTTTTCGGCTTCTCTGAGTCACTGTTGTACTCTGTCTTCTTGCCGAGGCTCACCTCGTCAACATCTTCTTACGAGGTTTTAAATACTCTCGTTAGCGAGAGATTATTTTTCCAAGTATAAGTTCTCTCTCAGCCTCAATTTCCCCGACTCAAAACGAGGTCAGTGAGGTCCTTTAAAAGGAGTGCTGTGAAGATTAAATATAATGACATGTGACGCAGGCCTTCTATTGCTGCGTTACACGTGGAGTAGATCCTTTCTTTTAAAAAGCCAGAAACAACAGAAAAAAAAAAAAGATGTGCTTCCTAGGGTCATCTGTAGTGAGAATATTCTGTTTTCTTTAAAAACAGAAATGTTATGAGAATGTGTTTTCTTTTTAATCCCAGGTGTGGGATATGGGGCTGCTTCAGACTGTCCACAGCCCCTGACGATGATTCGCCTGGTGCTCTAGCAGAGGCGTGGTTTTGCCGGCTGCCGATAGTTTCTGTGAGTGTGTGATGCTTGAAATCCTCGGGACTCTTCAGAGGGTGGGTGGAGTCCTATAATGTTAGGACTCCAAGAGGTGAGGTTGCTGTTGGGGAGTTGTTGGTTCTTGGTTGGATGCTTTAGTGGTTAATTAGTCAAGTGCAAAGAAAAAACAACAAGAAGAAATGAGGTATCCCGACAGTGAAGATCAAACTTGCCCCAAGGACCTGGGCACCCTAATCATGAGGAAGTACTCTAACAATAGTGATGTCCCTTTCCCCCTTTATCCTTTTTTCTCTCCTATTTAATGTTAAGGAGCTGAAAGGTGAAGAAGGGTGAAAGAAAGAAGAACCCACAAAGTAGCAAAAAGTTCAGCTATAGTTACCCAATATCCAGTAGTCAGCCCTGAAAAAAAAATATGTATATATACGAATAATACTAAATTGGCCAATCAGGTAATATTTATATACTTAGACATATGTATGTATATTAATCACATTTATAATATTATTAACAAAAAGAAGCCATGATGTTGAGAGGTAGCAAGGGAGTATGTTTACTCGAAAAAACAAAATGTATTTATAAATAATATATAATACAATTACACATTGTAATTAATATATAATACATAATATATAATACATAATATATAATAATATTTATATCATATTCAATGTAATATACATATATATATATATATATATATATATATACATAAATGTATGAGAAAGCAGTTTTTGTAAGTTCTGTGCAAACAAGGTTCTGAACACAGCAATGAATATATATTGGTTGTTTTTTTTTCTCATTCTTCTTTATTACTGTGAAAAAAAAGATGAGTGTTTCTTTGTGTTCTATGTCCCAGGCCAGCGCTTTGCTATTCAGTGATACAGAACTGGGTAATGCTGGCATTGGCTCCAAAGAGCATGGAGACTTGCTCTTTGGATTAGATAGGAACACAATAAGATTTAAATACAAAATAGAGCCACCTTGCTTCCATAAGGAATCTATGTCACACCACTAGGGAGCCCGGAATCGAGACATTCTTCATGATGAAGAGAATCAGAAAGTCTTAGGGAGTGGACCATCCTTTAGAAAATGCAGGTGTGGAGAAGCTCATTTGTCCAGAACAGGGAAAATTTGGTATTTGATCTCGGGCCATTTCTTTTAAATATTGGGCTGATTAATAGACTTTCTTAGTCAGGTTTGTCTTAAAAATTTCAGTTTAAGTATATGTCTTTCAGGACTTCACTCTGAGTTTTTGATCAGGCTGAGGGCATAAAAAATTCAATGTCATTCTTCAGTTGGATCTAAACTCAAAAGCGGACAACAAAACTGAAGACTACATTGCCACAATAGTCTAGACATGAGATCTCTGTTTTTGCACATGACTTTTGTTAACTTAAATCAAATTAAAATTAATTAAGTTTTATTGAATTAAACACATGACTGTATTCTCTCAGTTGCTTATTTCTGAATTGTCGTTTGCTCCACGGAGAGACGTAACATTGAGGGTTCAGTATAGAGGCAATGGCCAATCAGCTTTAAGTTTCTTTTTCTCCCTCCCTCTCCCCCTCCCTCTCTCCCTCCCTCTCTCTCTCTCCCTTGCTCTTTTCCTCTCTCCCTCTCTCTTTCCCTCCCTCTCTCCCTCCCTCTCTCCTTCCCTCTCTCCCTTTCTTTTTTCCTTTTTTTTTTTTTTTTTTAAGACAAGCTTTTGTGTACTCCAGGCTGATCTCTAACTTTGCTATGTAGCTCAGGATGTCTTTAAACTCCTGGTCCATCCTCACCCACTTTCCAAGTGCTGGATTACTGGTGAGCCTCACTATGCCTGGCAGTCTGACTTCCAAAGAGGCATGTGGAAATGAATTATAGGTATTTTCCAGTTCATCATCAAATTTATTCACTGAGAATTTAAAGTCCTATTTTAATGAAGATCGTTTCTACTTTACTTTTTGGGTCCCTCTTTGGTTCTTTGTGAAGCCCGCTTGCTTTTGTACTTGTATTTGAAACTTTCTTTTGTAATAGCTAGTTTTAGGTGACACTTAGCTAGACTAAGGTAACTGTTGGAATGCTATTCCTGGAGATGTATGAGAGGCTGTCTCTGGAAGAGGTAAACATTTGCATCCATAGAACGGAGCCAGGATTATCTTCTCTCATCCAATGTCTTGAGAATCCATGGAGAACAAAAATGCTAAGAAAGCAGGGTGGAGCCATGGCTCAGCACTTAAGGGCACATACTGCTCTTGCAGAAGACCTGGGTTCAGTTCCTGGTACCTACACTAGGCACTCCCATCCTTTTGCAACCCTAGGCTCAAGGAATTCAATGCCTCTAGCCTGCCTTGGCACCTGAACTTATACACACACAACCACAGGCAGACATACACACATACATGTATTTAACAGTGAATACGGAGTAAGGGAAATCTATTCTCTTGTCTGGAACGGAGACTCTCATCTTCCCTGTGACAGAATTATTATGGAATCCGGCAAGCCACTACATGAGACAGCCTAGTAAAACACTTCAAGCAGGACTTTGACACTTAAAAATCTCAGTAAGTATTATACGCTATTATTAAATATCATGTGCTGACATAAGATGTCAATGCTGACGTAAGATGGCTAATTAAAATTTGTTTTCATGGCTTTATTTTGTAAAACTGCAAACAGAGTCTTCTAGGGCTTATGCTGGGAATGAGAAGTCCCTTAGCCACCTGAGACTACAGGGGAAAACCAGCTGGTTGCAACGAAACCATAGTTTTTCTGTGTGTTCCTATCTTCCACTAGCGGGCCTGTCTCAGCTTGCAGTCCAAGTTTGATAAAGCCCGGGACATCTTCCCACATTGTCCTCACTAGAAACAGTGTTTCTTTCCATCTACGTGAGTCACTGGTACGGAACCCCACCTATTTATCTTGGGTGAATCTGGACAAACACAACGTATCGCCTAAGTAGCTCATATATTTTCATTCTGGCAAGAAAATTCCCCCTCACGACTTTAACCCCCCTCATTCCCAATTAGCCGTAAAATGAGGAGAGCAAGCCTCTTTCTAAAATGACCATTGCAAAAGTTAAATAAAGTAATGCTTGAAACATTTGCTGTCCTACATTGCTGGGTCATCTATGTAGTGAGATTGTCTCAAAAAAATATAAATAAATGAAAAGCCCAAATCAGTGTCATTAAATAAAAGAAAAAAATTAAAAAGAGCACTTGCCATAGTGACTGACCCTCCACTACCCAGTAAACCTCTTGTTTTTTTTTTCACCCACACAAAAGAGGAGCACGCTTCTTGGTGTTCTGTGCCCCTTCCTGGTGTGCTGTACGTGTGTAGGAGGGGGTCAGTATGGGCACTGCCTCCAAAGGACTTGAAGACTTGTTTCATGGATTAGGTTGGAATAAAATAATCATATTCAAAATACAAATTAGAGTGGTAAAAGCTCTCAGATTGCTGTAGCTCAGCACTAAGGGAACCAGAAGCAGAAAATAATTTCTCAAGGGAAGAGAATCAGAAAAGCCTTTGAGGTACAAGTTGAAGCTCAAGTGAGAGAATTTGTTCTGTGTTACAGCTGTGGACAGGGCAACCTTGGTCGCTCAGCTTCAGTTTAATTCTCTTCTTTGAGACAGGGTCTTGCTAAATAGACCTGACTGGACGGAAGCTCTGCCTGCCTCAGCCTCCCAAGGGCTGACATTGAAGGCTTGTGTCATTAGCCCAGAGCCTTCAGTCAATCTGCCAATTATATATGGCACATGGTGTGTTTCAGAAGGACAGCCAGAGAGTAATTTTAGAAATCACTCGTGAGTAGTTCTTTTTGTTTAACAGTTTTTCTTAGCTAAATATTCAAGAGAACATGGGCTTCTTTGATAGATTTTGTACGAGAAAAAGACTCTCTGTCTTGCATAAATGTGAGGCAGTACTCATTTGCCACTAACCTTTTGGTATGGTTTGACTATGGCTTATTTTCTCTAAAGCCCATCTTGAAATTATGCTGGGAAATGATTGTGCTGTTCAGAGTGACCACAAAGCCAGAGTCATTCTTGCAGGAATCAGTTAGCTACTGT